TCGAATATATACCCTGGAACTAGGGCGTTTGGCTGTTCTTCGTCTGGAGGAGGAGCGATGGGAGTGTCGGGAGCGGTAAAGAGGGGATCGCGCTGGCTCAAGCCTGAGGTAGAGTCCCCTACATTCTTCCTCCAATCCTTTGTATTCCTTGCTTCCAGCTCTCAATCGCCTGGGCTTTTAGGTTATCCCCTTGATCGGCTTCATCGGCGCGGCCATGGGGCTTGCATCATTCATGTGTGTGAGGAATCTCATGCTCAATCCGGAAGTGAGGTAAGAAAATTTCTCCCCGTGGATGGGTTCTTCCTCTTCTATCTAAGTTCCTCAAATTTTTTTGCTTGCTCGCGCAGGATAAACAAGGAGGATCGAAGCGCTGGACTCGTCCAGAATTACAAGGAGGGATACGAGTACCACGAGCACGGATTGAGGCATTACATGCGCAACAGGAAGTCCGAGATCATGCCCCGGATCAACGAGTACTTCACCAAGACGAGCTAAAATCTTTCTTCTTTCTCTGGTTGTCTCAATAAACCACTGATCAATTCAAAGGGGAAAAGTCGAGAATATCCTTAGTATCATTCATTGCTAGCGAGCGGTCAAATAACAGGACTGACTCTTCATTAAAGAAACCAGAGAAACCAAGAGAGGTTAACCTATGAACCACCCAAACACATTACAAAACACATTGCATGCTCACACCCAACACTTATTACTTCTCTCCTCCCATCCTTCCTATATGTGAACCAAGAACCCTCACACACCCATTTGCCACATTAACACTTGGTTAGGGTTTGACCAAACTGAACGCCGTTACATATGTAATGGTCATTCCCCCATTAAAATTTGTGTGTCCTCACACAAGATAGAATACCAAATTTGTACCATGCTCTACCAGGAAACAAATATTATGCATGTTTTCCTGGATTTGTGTCATATTTACAGATTAAACCTCCATGCTCCAAACCAAACTGACATCCATTTAATTTTGAGCTGCTATAACTTGCTGATTTCATAGCCACTACAACCTTGGCCCTTTGACAATTTTCTTAACAAATAGAACCTTTGGGATTTTCTATCTCTTTTTTTACACTTAAGTAGCATTTGCCTCATTCCCCTAAGAAAGAAATGCTAGCATGCTACAGCATTAACCACAATAAGCTTCCTCTCACATGCACGGGGTGTTTAAATAACTCTCTTGTTTGGGTCACTTGCTATGCCTCAAAAATCAGGTTTTGCCTCGATTTGATGCATCACTTTTCAGCAACACCCTTAACATTCTCACTAAAAGTCTCAGGTGCCACACAAAACAAGCTTTATTTACATTGCTCAAATTAGTAACCACTCATGATGCTCAATTTAGCAATCATTAATCATCCACAGATTCTCATACCCGAACCACACCCACTTGCCACGTCAGAACTTATGATTAAACCAAGCGTCCGATATTCTTCGTGAGAACGCTCCAGTTGTTCGCGCAGAGACTGGTCCCAGACTTCCACTCCACCCTTCGACTTTGCCGCTGCTCGCAGCACAGTGAAAGTGGCGGATCTCGCAAATTCCTCAATGCCGCGAAGCTCCAAGAACTTTGATGCCTCCTCCATGCTTTCTTTTTAATCTCGATCATCGATTGGCGCGCTCAAAGATTTCTCATCCGTACGCGACTTCTCTTCTCCAACAGCGAAATCTTGGAGCTCGATTCCTTCCAGCTCGCGATAGCTAAGAACAAGAACCCTAAAATTTTGTGGACACCGTTGCCACTAACATCTACCAGAGAGAGCGCATATTCTCCTCGTTTAAACAGGCGCCACGTCGTTGCACATCCTCTGGCCAATAGCTCGATGACACGTTGGCAGTAAATGCAACGTGGCGTGGACTATATATAAATTTGAGTAGGGCAAACTGAGACGAAGGAGGGAGAGAAATGGAGGCTATGAAGCGCGCGGCGATGCTCGGCGTGTGCGTGGGAGGGATTTGGGGCGCCTATGTCACGCAGGGCGTGCTGCAAGAGACTCTGTAAGTGGAATCGATCGATCGAGTGAGAGTCTGATTGATCGAGTGATTTTGTGTGTGGCAGCTCCACAAAACGCTTCGGCCCCGATAAGCAGAGGTTCCAGCACCTTGCATTCTTAAATTTCGCGCAGAGCGTGGTTTGCTTCCTGTGGTCATTCATAAGTAATGCATTGTGTGATTTTTTTTTTCCTTCTAGAGCTCACGCCGCTACTCTTTTTCTCCAGTGCTTGTCCTCGTTTCACCGAAGAGAACCTCTCAAGCTCCACTATGGGCTTACTGGAGTGCCAGCATTACGAATTCCATTGGTCCCGCTTGTGGAATCCAGGCTTTGAAATACATCAGCTATCCTGCCCAGGTGAGCTTTTGGATTTTACTTGTTTTTCTCATTTGTTCTTGAAAGCTTAAAGTTGAGAATTTCGTTTCCAGGTTCTGGCGAAATCGTCGAAGATGATTCCAGGTATGTGTATTGAATCTGAAAAGCTGGCTGGTATTTAAGTGTGCTCCTTTTCGTTTTCTCTTCTGAATCCAGTGATGCTCATGGGGACAATTTTGTACGGTGTCCGCTATACAATTCCTGAGTACCTTTGCACCTTTCTCGTCGCTGGAGGTGTTTCCATTTTTGCATTATTCAAGGTTGTGTGATTTTTCGATTTTTCTCAAAGGTGAGATTTTTCTTTCTGTCGTGCAGGGTAGTGTAAAAGCCAGTAAAGTAGCGAGTCCGAATGCTCCTCTTGGATACGGGCTATGCCTGTTAAATCTGGCGTTCGATGGTTTCACAAATGCAACTCAAGACTCTATTACGATGAGGTGAGGAAAAACACAAAGTAACTTTCTTGTTTGTGTTTTTGTGTGGAACGAGGCTTGACAACGAAAGTTTCATTGTGTGCTGCTCCAGGTATCCGAAAACAAGCGCTTGGCATATAATGATGGGAATGAACTTCTGGGGTTCCATTTACATGGGTCTCTACATGTTTGGATGGACGAGCGGGGGATTCGAAGCTCTGAGCTTTTGCAAGCAGCACCCGGAGGCTACGTGGGACATTTTCTTCTTTTGCCTCTGCGGAGCCGTCGGCCAGAACTTCATCTTCCTTACCATCAGCTGGTTCGGAACGCTGGCTCTCACGACAATCACAACGATGAGGAAGTTCGTAAGCATTCTCGTGTCGTCGCTGTGGAGGGGCAACCCGCTGACGCTGGAGCAGTGGATCGGCGTGTCGATGGTCTTTGCTGGGCTTTCGTACCAAATTCTCCTCAAGTGGAGGAGGCAGACGAAGAAGCGGCCGCTAAGAAAGAAGGCCGTGTGATTGACCCCCCCCCCTCGAAGACAGTTAATGTACACCGAGTAGAAGGTATGAGAAGAAAGCATCCATTTCTTTTTTTTTGTTTTTACTGATTTGCTTCCCTTTCCGCTCCAGAGGGGAGGGTGGCTTTTAAGTCACTGGCATTCAATGGCCAGCCATTCCTTTCTCTCTTTGCTTTGCAGAGGCAATGGATTGGAAGCACAACTTCCCTGTCCTCTCTGCGAGCAAAGTCTATATACTTTTTAAAACATTGTTTTATTTTTTGCACACTTTTTCTTCTTCTTTCCTAAAGTTTGATCTTTCAAGGTTTTGTTTTTAACAGTTTTTCCGATTTGCAGTTCCCAGCTGGGACACAGGCTGGCTGTCCGCACACGGGAAGAGAAAGGATGGCACGCGGTGAAAAACAAGAGTCTCGGAACTGCGCACATACTTTGCGATTGTGGCGCCTTCCAGACAAAGCGACAGGCTCCTACAGTGTAAGAAGTAAGAATGTCCACCAGGGAGAATGACAACCGAGGTAAAAATGCCTGATAACAGAACGCTTTGCTTGATCCAGACGTTTGTAACGCTCTCTCGTGTTTCCAGGAGGTAAAGGGAAAAAAAAAAAAAAAAAAAAAATCTCGGCCGGGGAATTAACGCGGCCGAAAGAAAAGGAGGGACCGACCAAATGCCGAGTTTTTCCATCTCCGATACAGTTTCGAGTATGGACAGCCAACGAGACAGGCAGGCCAATCAATGTCACATAGGTGATCCCTTTTCATTCTTTCTTTTTTGTATTTCGTCGCTTCTCTCATCTTCAGGTGATCACACATACCTGTATCAGCCCCTGGTGGCTGGTTTCATTCCATACAGGATTCCACAATCCAGCGATAAATTATCAGCGAGTTTTTCCTTAAGTCGATACGCTTTTCTTTGCTACGTTCTTAAGACAATACGCTTTTCCTTGCCAAGTTTGCACGCTGCTAATCGACTTCTCTGTTCGTTAGCTTGGGATCTCCAGATTTTCAAGGCAAAGTTTCGAATTTTTCGCTGTACGAACATGCTAGACGTTAGCCGAGGACCAAGTATCGCATAAAGATGAAGTGTAGAGCACATGTCCCCAAGTTACAACCATGTGCTATAGTTTCTATTAAATTCCACATTGCCGTGTTATAGGCCCATAAGTTTTGACCGATCAAACCAAGGTTAGATTTAATCTTAGCCCACACATGTACGTTTTTTAATGCTTGTTTTGGTTGGTTGGCCATTAGGTTTTCCACTTTGTCTTTGGCGGTGTCATGCAAAAGAGATGTCCTTTCCTTCCCCACACAGCCCGGAAGGATACATGGAAGTGCGTGGGTCCTCCACAATCGCGGTTAACGGCTGGGATTTGCGCTGGATGTGATCCCCACCGCCCATTCTGTCCATTACAACGGTTAAAAAACCATTTGCCAGTGTACGAGCCGTTTGGGCGGACGCCACGCTCTCACTTAAATCCGGCTCAATGCGGCTGCTAACAAACCAGTCTGGTAACCACCGTTTCCTCAAACGGTAAACTCTACCTGACCGCGGCCAGCAAGGTCCACGAGCGGTTAGCTGGATGCTTACACGTGTCCCCCAAGAAGCATCCTGGCGGATAATTCTGCCAGGCTGGCTGGGTTGCCACGCGGCAACGCCAGATTGGTACGCTCTTTTGCATGGATGTGGCCGCAAGTTCTTCCTCTGTTTCTTGTGAGTATAGTCCTGTCCAGCCCGGCTTGGAGCTCGCGCTTCGCGTCTTCAATCGGCAATGGCGGCCGCGCGTTAGGTCACCGGCATTCCTCGCGGTGAGTGACATGATGCTAGGTTCTATAAGAGCGCTCACATTCTCGTTTCTCGTGGCGATTTCGCAGGTCTGAGCTCCTGGCATTGGATTTCTTGGTCAGATCGCAGCCATTCTGGATACCATGGCAATGCCGCGCTTCTTGCTGCTGATTCTCGCGATTCTGGGGTTATTGCACTCCTCCCGGGCCGACGCTCCCATTTCTTTCTTCGACTGGGTTGTGTCTTATGAGACTCGGGCCCCTCTTGGCGTCAAGCAACAGGTACTTCGTTCTTTCTTTCGATTCTTCTTCTCTTCTTCTTCTCTTTCTTTTGGATTTTTTTGTGTCGATTCGTTGGTTGGGCGGTGATGTAAACCCTTTCTTGTTTGGTGTGCTCTCAGGTGATCGTGATAAATGGGATGTTCCCGGGTCCAGTGCTAAACACCACCACCAACAGGATCAACATCGTCAACGTCCAGAACAATCTGGATGAGCCCTTTCTACTCACCTGGTATGTGATCTACAGATCAAAGCTCCTCTTTCTCTTTTCTCAAGAGATCTGGACTTTGCTTGCCTACATTCTTTGTTTTCGTGGGTGGAATTCTAAAGTTTCCTCCGCAGGGATGGTATCCAGAACCGAAGAAATGCCTGGATGGATGGAGTTGCGGCAACGAACTGTCCCATACCGGCGGGCCAAAACTTCACCTACAACATCACGGCTAAGGATCAAATTGGCAGTTTCTTCTACTGGCCAACGACGATGTTCCAAAGAGCTGCTGGCGGTGTTGGGTCTGTGAGGGTGAATCCGCGTGCTGCCTCGGGTGTGAGGGTGCCATTCGCACCTCCAGACGGTGATATAGTTGTTATGATTGGTGACTGGTACACTCGGAGCCACAAGGTATGTGCTCTTTAATGATCCACCTAGCAATATGAAGTCAAGGCATGGCACTGCAGGAATTGCGAGCTTCTCTAGACAGGGGCGTTTTACTCGGGATGCCAGACGGTGTTCTTATCAATGGGAAAGGAGCTTACAACAGAACCACGGATTACGAAACCATCCCTGTGCGAAGAGGTACAAAACTCATTGATTCCGTGAGAAAATAAAAATGAAAATGGAAGCATTGACTCACTCCCTTGGCTGTGCTTGCAGATCATGTATACCGGTTTCGAGTGACAAATGTGGGTGTGAGCACGACTCTAAACTTTCGGATTCAAGGCCACCAGCTCAACCTTGTGGAAACCGAGGGGTCTTACACTGTGCAGCAACCATACGACTCTATAGACATTTTCGTGGGACAATCGTATTCGTTTCTTCTTAACTGCACTGCAAATGCTAGCGACTACTACATCGTTGCTAGCCCCAGGTTTGTGGGCAATGAGACCGAGTGGGCGAATATCACTGGTGTTGGAGTCCTCCATTATTTGGACTCCAAGGCTTTGGTTAATGGCCCCCTTCCCGAAGGGCCCAGTATTTATGATGGGGGCTGGTCCGTAAATCAAGCTCGTCAACTCAGGTATGTGTATACTGTTCAAACTTCCAAGACTAATCTTTGTCACCGCAGACGTAACTTGACAACGGGAGCGGCTCGGCCAAATCCTCAAGGCTCTTTTCACTATGGGCAGATCAACGTCACACAGACATTCGTTTTGACAAGTACCGCAGTATCAATTGCCGGGAAGCGACGGTTCGCGGTCAATGGTTTTTCTTTCGAAGTTCCATCCACACCTCTGCTTCTCGCGGACGAGTACAACATTACAGGCCTATACAAGCTGAATTCTTTCCCAGAAAAAGTTGGAAGCGTCGTTCCTGGCCTCCAGACGTCCGTCGTAAACGCCACGTACGCTGGTTTCTTGGAGATCATCTTTCAAAACCCGGACAACAACTCAGTCCAGTCGTGGCATGTCGATGGCTATGCGGCATTCGTCGTCGGGTATGTAGGTTGGAACTTTCATATGCGACAGGCTGATCGATGTTTGCTTCTTCAGATACGGACCAGGGCAATGGACTGAAAATGATAGAGGCCAGTACAACAAATGGGACGCTGTATCTCGCTCCACCGTTCAGGTACTGAATGACCCGAACTTGTTTCTTTCTGCCTCTTGGTTTTTGTTTTCTAAACCATTGCTTTTCCCAGGTTTTCCCTGGCTCCTGGACGGCCATCCAAATCTCCCTGGACAATGTGGGCTTGTGGAACATACGCTCAGAGGACTTGGTCCGCCATTATCTCGGCCAAGAAATCTACATGTTCGTGAACGATCCAAGCGACAACATCAAGAACACGGCTTTCCCGAAACCAGACAACGTCCTGTATTGTGGACGGCTTGCAAATCTTGCTCCGCTATCGAGGTACTTACATCAATCAACCTCCTCAACTTCGTTCATATACTCATTCCAATCTCATCGTTCTTTTGCAGTCGCCATCGCAAGAGCTCCGGCACCCAAGCAGCGAAGCTCTCCTTGACTACATTGCTCACTCTGGCGAGCGCTGCGCTCCTGAGCTTACTGTGGCTCTAGAGGTCTGTAGAGGATTGATTGACCCGACGGTTTTGCATTTCATTTTTTTTTTTTTTCTAGTTTGAGGAGCCACATTACTGCTGAGAGATATATTGGGTGTTGGTTTTTTTGATCTATCTCTGAAAGGAAGAAACCACCATTTTGTTTGCTTGTTCTTCTCTCTCTTCTCTCCTCTCTCCCAAGTTTCTGGTGATGATTTGTAAGTTTGTGAGAAGAATTCGTACTCTCTTTTTTTCTATTCTTTGTAGAGTCAAGGTGTTGATCAGTTTTGACGTTCTTTGACGAGAATCGGAAACTTTGGTTCTAGAAGCAAGGATTTGATTAAACTAAGACACGAGCTGGAGTGTGGCCTCACGCGCCGGCATGTGAAAACACAATTTGGAAGGCTTGTTTAACTTAATGATTATTGGTAAGCTTCGTGGAGATTAACCGTTGTCACGAGCGATCGCGTGGCTTTTCGTGGTGGATTTAACGCATAAAATTTGTTTGTCAACGTCCCTCTCATATATAGAGAGGTTAATTCCATGACAAGCTCTAAGATCCAGCGAAGTACACCACTCAGTGGCTAGCTAGTTGGTGTTACTAGCAAACAAGAAAGTTTCCATTTAGTTCCCTGTACTATGAGAGCGTACCAGTCCATCCATGATAAGGGGAATCTTTAGCAAGAGGTGAAGAATTGAAAGAAGGAGAAGAGGAGGAGGAGGAAGTGGAAGTGAGGATCTTTCTTCTCTGCTCAAGGGAGCTCATGGAGCAGCGAGACGGAGAGCTTCTAGCCGGGCAAGTCGAGGGAGAGGTAAACTCCACCACTTTCCAGAGCTTCAACCTCGATTTCCTCAGCGCCGAGCACCAGCAAAGCCTGCTCGCGGCGAATTTCCAGCCGTGGTCCTCGAGCAGCAGTGGAGCTGGAGCCTGTGCTGCTGCGGCCGAGGATGAGGATGTCAAGGGACTGCTCACTCCGCCCAGCAGTCCCTCCGGCGCGAGCAACAGTGGCGGCAGTAAGTTCCCGTCCGGCCTGGCTCAAAAGATCGGCTACCTCCAAATGGTTGTCAATATGCTGGGCAGCAACAACAGCGCGCGCGGCCAGTCGAGCAGCGGCGCTCAGCAGCAGCAAATTGGGAAGCTCGTGGATCAGCTCCTGGTGACGGCCAGAGGTATGTTCTTGGAGCAGCAGCAGCAGCAGGAGCAACATCAAAGTGCTTCCTTTGCTGCGAATCCCTCCAGCGATCGCTACTTTAACATCTCTCCGGAAGAACTCGTCTACCATCATCATCATCATCAGCAGCAGCAGCAGCAAATTCTCCAGCAGCAGGCTTATAACCACCAGCAGCAAATGCCTTATCAAGGCATTTTTCCAAAGCCGGAGAGTATGACTCCAGTGGAGAATCTCTATGCGGGTGTGGCGGCGGCTGCAATCGTTGATGGAGACGAAGACGAATCTCTCCAGGAGAGCCAAGACTCGTACGAGTTGATCGAGCTCGACGCCATGGAGATCCTTGCCGAGCACACACACTTCTGCGAGATTTGTGGCAAGGGATTCAAGCGCGATGCCAACCTCCGCATGCACATGAGAGGCCACGGTGACGAGTACAAGACACCGGCGGCCCTTGCCAGGCCCAAAGGTGACGACGAACACCGCGGCGATGGCAAGAGGAAAGTCTCCAGCCCAAAGTTTCTACCCAAGCGCTACTCCTGCCCGTATCTGGGATGCAAGCGCAACAGGCAGCACAAGAAGTTTGTGCCACTCAAGACGGTGCTGTGCGTCAAGAACCACTACCGACGATCGCACTGCCCCAAGCTCCTGACTTGCACCAGATGCCGCGTGAAACGATTTGCGGTGCTTGCCGACCTCAAGACGCACGAGAAGCATTGCGGGAGGGAGAAGTGGCAGTGCTCTTGCGGGACGACCTTCTCTCGGAAGGACAAGCTCCTGGGCCACATCTCTCTCTTCGTCGGGCACAAGCCGCTGATGATGATGGTTCCGCCACAGCCGCTGCAGCCGCCTCCGATCATCTTGCCCAGCAGCAGCAGCAGCAGCTCCTTATCGGCTGCAGAGCTCTCGCCAGCTTCAATCTACAGCAACATGCAGCAGATTCCATACTCATCAAGCATGATGGATTCCAAGTCCCAGATAATGGGAACTGTTGATGGTGTTCCTTCTTCTGTGGAGAGCTGCTGGAATCCAAACAGCATCTTTGGTGGTGGTGGTGGTCGGTCTATGCTTGTCCCCGGGAGCAGCAGCAGCAATAACAACAACAACAACAACTCTAACAACAACACCACCACAAGCAGTGAAAACTACAGCCTTGGATACCTGAGCCTTGATTTCTTCGACTGCAAGAATTGACAATGTGAGATGGTTTGTGTGACTGGTCCACAATAACCAAATGGTGGACGCATTATATATCGCTATGCTAACATCTTGTTACTAATATTAAATAAATAAAAAGATTTTTTTGTTGAATGGCGTTGGCCGTTGAATAGGGTTGACTTACTGACCGTTGGCCGTTGACTATAATTGACCATGGTTCTTTCCTTCTCAGAGTACGGGCGATTCTGGGTCACTTCACTGCCAGATACGCCGGCGGCACACGTCAACGCGCGATCTAACAGCGCTCACTGCTCCTCCTCTGACGTTTCACGCATTGAATGCCATAATAATTATAACACCCCCAACGATGAGAGGCGCTCGCGCTCGCGCCCTCCATTCATGAAATCTTTTTTCCTCGCCTCCTCCATTTCAAACCAGGGAGGATTTCTCTTCTTTTCCGAGCTCCGGTCGGAATTGGAGCCACGGGAGAGGAAGAATCTCAAATCCAGAGAACAAGAAAGATCTCGAGGATACTCTCAGAAAACCAGTTGGAGAAAAGGAGGGAGGAGAAAAAGATGATGTTGTTTTCGTTGGCGGCCTGCCATCTTCTTTCTGGGAATTCCCATCACACGCAAATCTTCTGCCACTGGCAGGAGTGTAGCATAGATAGATTTTGTCTTTGATCAAGCTTTTATTACCTAGTTCTCTCTCGGCTCCACATCTCGCTTCTTCTCCGTCCGCCGGGAAGAATTTACCAGCGTCTGGACGAGGAGGACAAGCAATCCAGTACACTGATAGGTCTGTCGTATCATGGATAGATTTAGCTTGTATCATTCAGCCACCCTCAAGGCTTGCAGGATCCAATGACCCATTTGTGATCGATTGCCGCTCGCGAGTTTGATCGATATCAATACCTCAGCTCCTCCCACAATGGGCTATCGGATCCACCATCAAAATCACAGCTTGTTCGCGAGTGGCGGCTCCAGCTGCTCGTGAGACATCACGATTGCGACCAACAGCGACAATGGGAATTGGAACAGGGCAATGTACGCACTCCATTTGGGTGACAACGCTGGAGCAGGGCTAGGCGTCTTGAGTTCCTCGTCGGCCGATCTTCCGGATCACCATCGCTCATCAGTGCTCCAGCAAAGGGAGTTTTTCACCAGGGATGCCTTCGCGCAGGGATCATCGCGCGCATCAGCTGCGGCGGCGGCGGCGGAGGAGGAAGCATACTATCGATCAGCGTCGTCAAATCTTTCCAGCCTTGCTTCTTCGTTCCACCATCGGCTGGATCACCCGGAGGTTCCTCCCGCCGAGGCAGTGTTCTTGAGTCGGGATAGGCCGAGGAGCACCTTGGAGAGATCGACGAGGGCGAGTTCTAGAGTCGACTTCTCGGCGGATCGGTATCAAGAACACCACATTCCAAACTTATGGGATCAGGCATCGACTTCCAGCAAGCCCGCGGCCACGGCCTCAATCCAAGCCACTCCATTCATCGGGTCTTCGCGGCTCCCGGAGGCCCAGCTTCTTCCTCCTCCGCTTCATCACCATCAAGCGATATCGATCCAGCACGATTTCAACGACGCGGCCTCCTCGGAGCACCATCGGAACCCATCGCCGACAAGCTGCGATATCATCGCTCCTCCCCAATACAGGATCTACAAAACGACCGCCGCCATTAACATCAACGCCACCTCTGGCGCGAGCACCTCCACCGCCGCCACCATTACCAACACCACCAGCGCATGCAAGGAATGCGGCAACCAGGCCAAGAAGGATTGCCAGTTCCAGCGATGCCGGACGTGCTGCAAGAGCCGCTCGTTCGACTGCCAGACCCACGTCAAGAGCACTTGGGTCCCCGCGGCGCACAGGAGAAATCGAGGCGCCGCCGCGCACGCCGGCGGCGACGCGATGATCGACTCCTCCTCCTACGATCACGAATCCAGCGGGCTACCGCGATCCAAACGTGCCCGCGGTGGCGGCTTTCGGCTCGTGGGTTCCACGGCCTCGGCATCCTCCTCCGGCTCGCAGCACGACTCGGACACGCCAATCTCGGGTAAGTTTTGGGGTTTGACCGGGCTTGACCGAGCCTGATCGGGGTGTCTTACCTGCTTGACTTTCGTTGACTGGCTTCTGGGCAGCCGCATTTCCGGCCGAGGTGCGCGCGCAGGCGGTGTTTCGATGCGTAAAGTTGACCAGCGTCGAGGACGGCGAAGACGAGTACGCGTACCAGACAACGGTGAGGATCGGGGGCCATATCTTCAAGGGTGTTCTTCACGACCGAGGCATTGAAGCTGGACAACAAGACTCGTCCAGTTTCGGTGGTACTTCCACCGCGTCCCATCACCTCGTCGCCAAATCCATGGCGCCATCAGCGACTGTTAGCGCTGCGAGCGATCCAGCGCTAGCAGAAGCAGCAGCAGCAGCAGCGACAGTGGCCTCTACAGCCACATTATATGGACACGGAGGAAACGTACTCCTTGAAGGTTCTTCTAGACTCCTTTCACCAAAGAAAAATCTTCTTGGTTTTGGGTCATGGGCTTTGGATCTACGTGATTCTGGTTGCTGCAGAGATGCGAGGTGGCGTCGGAGGCACCAACTGGTGAAGTCTTGCGAGGGGAGCGAATCAATCAGTCGAATTTTTGGAGTTTTGGGTACTAGATGGAAGAACTGGATATCTTGTTTGAGGTGAGTGATGTGAACTTCCACTCGAGAAACTCACAAACATCCTTGTCTGTGACAGGTTTATATCAGTATCATCATCTTTACCACCGATTTTTTAACTCTTTTGTATATGTCTAGATCCAGGATTAACTGGCAGCACTAATCACCCAAGTGTAACGAGTGAATCACTCAAAGCTATGGAATCGAGCCCTCCTTCCATGCAAAGCAAAGGAGTCAATGCTTGGATCCAAAGAGAAAAAAATATATTCCATGAGTAGACGCAAAGCCATGAACGCCAATCACATCGAGCAGCGTGTCCTCATACGGATCTTACCGTACGTCTTCTGAGGGATATCCATAATGTTGCTGGACAAGCGGCGCTGTGACGCGCAAGGGGTGGTAGGTTCTTTGGATCGACGCTACAAGCTCTCAAACTTTTAGCAATCGTCTTCTAGTCTGGTCCCTCTGCCAGGAACAGGGTCCCTCTTGATCGGTAAGTTCGCAAGATCTTGGTGGGCGATCTCTGGTATTTGAGGAATCGAAATGTGAGCTTGCAATGCAGATCCAGGGGATCATGAAGCGCGGGAGTTTGATGTTGCTGGGTCTTCTCCAGGCGGCTTTGGTGCTTTCTTTGATCCAGCACGGCCATGGCTGGGACGAGTACCTTAAACCACCGGCTGGAAACAGGCAAGAGCTTGAGTAACTCGGTTTTGGTTTTTATCGTTCTGGTTGGAACCTTGGCAGCCCTCATATGAGAGTGAAGACTTCGAATGGCCACCATAGCTACAAGTGCTCGTGCGAGAAATGGGAGCTAACCGCAGCCTCGGCCGACCTGCTCAGCACCGTCGACTCCAAAACTATAATCGGCGCCTACTCTTTCTCCAGAAACTCAAACTCCAATTCCAAGCACCAGGGAACTTGGACCTTGTTTAACAATCCAGCCGACGCCATCGAGTCTGGAGCTCGTGTGAGCGCTGTTACTGGTAAAGAAGTTCTGGAAGTTCTAGCAAAGTTCTAACTTTTCTCTTGATTCCAGCAAAGGTGATACTTTCGTATCCAATCCCCGGGAGCTTATCCGAGGCTCTCTTGCAAGTAACCTCTCACCACTTCGAGGGCCAGAGCGGGCTGGTTTCTTACATCCAGCGTCTCAAGCCGCAAGGTGGCGTGCCAATGACGAACTCGTGCCAGCGTCCTCACGAAGTGCTCAAGGTTCCATTCTACGCCGAGTATCAGTTCTGGAGGCAAGACGTGGTGCCACCCAGCGTCCCATACTCGCTCGTCGTGCCCTCGTCCGTGAAGCCGGTCCAGAGCTTGTTTGGCGAAGGGGAGGTCCTCTACTTGTTCAACGGTGAGAGCTGGGAGCAAAGGTACGCGTTTGCGAAGCTCTACGACGTTCCCGGCGGCAAGAAGCTGGGGAGCTACTACATCAAAGCTAGAGGCGCGGGCGAGTCGTATGGAACGCACTTTTGGGATCTCTCCAATCCAAATGGCGTCCAAGTCGTGGGGAGAGTTACCATGCCTCCGGTTAGCGTCTCGAACAGCAGCCTTCCGTGGTTGACGACCACAATCACTGCTCACACGGGATCCAAGTAAGCTCTTCTTCTTCGATCTCTTCTTTCGCTTGTCACTTTTGTTCATGGCTTTGGATTTCTTCTAGTTTGTTGCTTGAAGACTTTTGTTCATGGCTTTGGATTTCTTCTAGTTTGTTGCTTGAAGACTTTTGTTCATGGTTTTGGATTTCTTCTAGTTTGTTGCGTGAAGACTTTTGTTCATTGTTTTGGATTTCTTCTAGTTTGTTGCGTGAAGACTTTTGTTCATTGTTTTGGATTTCTTCTAGTTTGTTGCTTGAAGACTTTTGTTCATGGTTTTGGATTTCTCCGAGTTCTTTGTTCAGACCTAGTTTGAGTTCGTTCCTATGGTTTTTCTGGTGTGTTTTTAGACTTTACTTCGTTTCGATGTTAGTTTCCATAAGAGTAATTCCTGAGACGTTTCACAAGTTCTTTTCCTTTCATGGCCACGCAGCTCGCTCCTAAAGAACGCAAAGGCCGTGCAAATGCTGTCAACTCGAGGTGGTCTCCCCAACAAGAAGAGTCCCAGAGGCAAGCTTTCCAGAGGCCAGTTGTGGAGAGTTCCGTTCACAGCCGTCTTCTGGTTCTATGGCTGATAGCTTGCTCGCTATTTTCACTCCACTCTCGCTCGCTCCAAGAATACGATCACCTCCTGCAAGGAGATCTCCAGACAAGAATAGCACTTCACCGGATGTACAAACTACGTAAAACGAAGAAAAAAAAAACAAGAGAAAACGAAAGCAATGATATGTCACACATTCTAAGATACTTGTGAGAAGTTTGATCTGATTGACATATGGTTTTGATGGAGAAATTGATATGGACACGGAATTCGTACTGCCGCCCAGAACTTGAATGTGCTCAGAGCTGCAAACGAACGAGATTAGCAGTGCACAAAGACCAGGCGCACCACAGGAAAAGCATACAAAAAAGTGTAAGACGACGACGACGAGAGCTGGAGCTGGCAAGACGGCTTTAAATGCTCTCACTCGGCAAACACCATGCTACATATTGACCTGAAGAAATTTAAAAAAAAATACGTTTTTTTTATAAATGTAGATAATTATTCAAATAAGAATGTTTGGAGGCAAAAGGAATGAGTCCATTTTTCCCCTTTATCTTTAAATTCCACATGGGAAAAATGGGACAGCTTCTGGGAATTCATGAGCAAGGGGTTGGGTGGTGGCATTTATACTCGTGATTTCATTGTTGAAAGCGAGAGGTATCGACCCTTTTCCTTTAGTTTTTCATCTCTTTTTTACGTTTTTTTCTACTAAATTCATCCCAAGATGGAGCATTTGCATGAAAATAAAGAGCAAAAAACTGGAAGAGAAGAGCAGAAAATGGAGAAAAAGATCCACAGTGTTTAGCTTTGTGGTCGTCATGCATTGATTATATCACGGGCCGTACAAGACCAGACCGCGTTCGTACACCGCGAAGCTTGAACCCTTTATAAAACCCTGCACGTCTTTCACCTCCCCTCTCGGCATTCATTAAACGCAGTGCATCCATCCTGCGTGATCCCTGGCATATTCTCTCCCCTCCGCTTCCTCCATAGCCGCCGACTAAAGAAGCGAAGTAGACGCACTCTGCGCGAAGACAAGTGAGAGAGAAGTAGCAGCTTCTCTTTTACCTCGTTTTTGCTCCCGGGGCCTGTCCATGCAGTGGTGGACACAGTCGTCATCCTTGGATCATCGCCCACGATCATCGAGCAGGATTTTTGGATTGATCATCCGGTATTGGAGTGCGATGGAGATAAACTCCAGCAGCAGCGGTAGCAGTAGCAGCAGCAGCGGTGTCGGAGACAAGAACTTCATCCAAGTGAGTGGCATCGATGCTTCTCCATCCCCTTCCTCCTCCTCGCTGTTGATGGTCATCGCCCACGGCTCCGGATCGGCGAGCTGGATGATTAGCATCGCCCTGCTGCTGGCCTGGTGGGTGTTTCTCCACAGGCTGAGACAGCGGCATCTGGCCGGGCCCAAGACGTGGCCGCTGCTGGGCTGCATCGTGGAGCAAGCCCGCAACTTCGACAAGCTCCACGACTGGCTACTCGGCTACTTCAACAAGACGCTCACCTTCTCCGTCCCCATGGCCACCATCAACAACACCTTCACCGCGAACCCGGCCAACGTCGAGTACATCCTCAAGACCAACTTCAACAATTTCCCCAAGGTTGATCCCAGATCCCAGCTCCCAGTTTGCTTTCGTAGTTTCTTTCTTTTGTTCATGAGGGAACAACCCATGTTTACAGGGTGACAAGCTTTGCGGGAGGTTTGAGGATCTCATGGGTCAAGGCATTTTCACCGTCGACGGCGAGAGGTGGATCCACCAGCGCAAGGTTGCCACGGCCGAGTTTGCGTCGTCCAAGCTGCGCGATTACAGCATCCACACTTTCAGGGACAAGGCGCTGCGGCTGGTCAAGGTGCTGGACTCGGCCTCGCGCTCCGGGAAGCAAGTCGACCTCCAGGTAGAAGATCATAACTCTCTAGTGGTGAATTCACCTCTAACTCCTTGTCTGGATGCGAATTATGCGCTCTCGACCAGGATCTGTTCATGAGGCTGACACTGGACTCGATATGCACGGTCGGGTTTGGAGTTGGCGTTGGGTGCCTGTCGCCGGATCTGCCGTTTGTTCCATTCGCGGCCGCGTTCGACGAGGCAATGCGGCTCATCATCCGGAGATATGTGGACGTTTTCTGGAAGATCAAGAGGGCCGCGAGCATTGGATCGGAGGCCCGGCTCGCGCAGTGCCTCAAAGTGGTGGACAGTTTTCTCTACCAAGTTATCAACCGGAGGCGAGAGGAGATGAAGAGACTATCCTCGGAGGTATAGAACGTTACAATCGTCCAGTTCAATTCGAGCGTGAATTGCATTGATCCTTGTTTTCTCAGGCTCGAGCGGACTTGCTATCGCGATTCATGGTGCTGGAAGGCGAAGAGGCCTACACCGACAAGATGCTGAGGGACGTTGTGATGAACTTCATGGTGGCGGGGCGAGACACCACCGCGCTGACGCTCTCGTGGTTCTTCTCCGAGCTTTGCAAGCACCCGGAGGTGGCGGACAAAATCGTCGCCGAAGTCTCCCAGGTTCTAGGAAGCAAGCAGCAGAAAATTCCCAAGATTTCCGACAGGAGCAGCAGCTTCGACTATGGACTGGAGCAGGAGATCCTGGATCTTGCGGAGCTGCTGGACTACCAGACGCTCAACAAGATGCAGTATTTGCATGCCGCTCTCACGGAAGCTCTCCGGCTCTATCCAGCAGTCCCTCTCGTAAGAACACAAACTCCTCGAGATCTCACTCACGCCAAATTTTCTCTTTGCAGGACACCAAGCAAGTTATCGAGGATGACACGCTCCCGGATGGAACGAAAGTCCGAGCAGGCCAGTTCGTGAGCTACGTTCCATACAGCATGGGAAGATTGGAACACATATGGGGACCCGACGCTACCGAGTTCAAGCCAGAGAGGTGGCTCAACTCGAGTGGTGTCTATCAACCGCAATCTCCATACAAATTCACAACTTTCCAGGTAAACTTCTCTTCGAGAACTTTGTTGATTGTTCTCGATTATCATCTTGAACTCTTTTGTTTCCAGGCCGGGCCACGAATGTGCCTGGGAAAGGACTCGGCATATCTTCAAATGAAGATGACCACCGTGATGCTGCTCAAGCTGTTTAACTTCAGCCTGGTAGAAGGCCAGAGCCTCGACTATAGAATGATGGCAGTGCTCTACATTGCCGATGGCGTCCAAGCCAAAGTCACGAGAAGGGAGTGAAGAAAAGAGTGTGGAAGCGCTGGAGATTCTTTATTCATCCTTTAGGCCTTAGTTGCAATAACGAGATCGATGCAGCTTTGCATGCTTGTGTGCATACACCACCCTCGATAGTTCATCGGGATAAATTCTTACGCAGAGGTGCCTGAGGAATGAGAAACGAGAAAAGCTCGTTACTTTTGTAAGCTATCATCGCCGAAAACCTCTTTAATTCTCTCGGCGGTGAAACGAGCAACCCATTCCGAGCCAGGCTTTGTGCAGCAAAAGTCGTGTGTGATGTCCTCGCTTTGCACCACCGCGGTTTTTAAGCCTGGGACGTGTTCATGGACCTGATGAATAAAAAAAACTCTTATTCTAAGAAGCTAAAAGAAGAATACTCACTTGTTCCAGCAAGCTCAGGGGACCCCAATGATCGTCTATCCCAAACAAGAAGCAGACTCTCCTGTGATTCTCTCTGAGAAAGTCCCAATCGACCTCCTCTTTGAGCTGCATGATAAGAAACAATAAACCTTGAAAACCATGACAACAAATTGCGTACCTTTGCAAACTCTGTCATCCCCATGTACGTGAAGTTGGCAACCATGGAGCTCTGAAGTCCTAGTTAAAAACTGGAGCACAGAGTGTAAGAAAGAATTTTACCCGAAGAAGGTATTTACAGGTTGTGTCGACTGCGCACGGCCCCCAGGCCCTTCCCACAACAGCCTTGACAAGCCGTCTGGAAATCCACGCTGGAGAGTGGCCCAGTAAACCTGCGAGTGAGCTCACTGTCGCACGCATCAATGAGCTCCTGTATCGATAAAGAAGAAGGACAAGAAAAAAAGAAAAAACGAGCGTAAGAAACTATAAGAATGTCACTGACTTACACTTACTCGCAAATCGCTTTGAGCACCGCTTGTTTCAGGGAGTCCGGATTTGTTTTCAGAAAGGGGTGCAAGCCGATCACGCACTGTAGCTGGACGAAGAAAAGCATTAAAAAAGTGTGTTGTTTGTTGCAAAGATGGGAGCACACAAACCTTGTTTGGGAATCTCTTAAGGAGCTCGAGAATTATGTACGCGCCAATGGAGTGGCCGACCTTGAAAGCTCTACAGGATCAGCAAGTGATATGAAAGCATCCTTTTTAACTTTTGAGGAGCTTACCAGGACTGTTGGGAGGTCCGAGTTTATATATCGCTCTTCCAGAAACCCAGCCTGCAAGAGAAAACTTGAGAGCTGTTGCTAGATGAGACTCAAGTCTCACCTTGTGATCAATCTGTTGCTGCAAAGAAAATTTCTTGCCTTTCTCATAGTCCTGGGAAACGAATTTGTGTCAAACACTTGAATGCGGGGAAAGTTAGATTTTTACATGAGCGGTATGCGCGATATGTCCAATGGCTGCCACAAGAGAATTCATCAGAATGTGGAGATGGAAGTTTCAGTCACTCACCTGTGATGGAAGCTGCACCTTCAAAGTGTTTGGAGAGAGCAGCGAGATAATCCTTGTAAAAACCCACAATGCCTGGATTCCCAGGAACAAAGACAATGTGAAGCCGAGGCATGGAATAAGGTTTGAGCTCCAGCAGCTCTGTGGCATGCCTGAAAAGCCCCAAAAGCTTTGAGGAAGGCAAACAGAGAAAGCGCTCACTGCTTACCCACAAACGCTCTCCACTCGACAGACCGCCATAACTCTGCCCTAAATTTTGGAATATTTCTGGAATATCGATTATTTACACTCAAACTTCTAGAATATAACACCAAAAATCATGGCAATAAGCATGTCACACAAAGTAAAATAATATAACTCTACAACTTTTATTAAAACTCACTCAAAAACCTAATGTATATATGATTGTGCATGGGAGTTTATATTTTTTGTTTTGAGTTGCATCCAAAAATATTATGTATATAATCACTTTTCAATTTGCAATTATATGTATAATATTTTTGTTATGGGATATGCCATATATGCATGGGATATAACACATTAGACTACTATAGAAGATTGATGCCACATCATCTCAAATAATATAATGTCATTGTAAGTCTAGCAAGGTTTTCTTATTTCATTTTTATGTCATTAAATGTAAATTTATGATCTTTTGATTGTGATAATTTTGCTTATCCTTTGCACATGTTTTATTCACATCTCATTCCATGTGGTTATTCTTCATTTTTCATGGTTTGGAGGCACAATGCACTAATGTAAACATGGTGCTTCAATTACTTTTATAAATGCTTTTCATTTATTGTGACTTATTTGCAGCACAACACTTCAATCTAGGTAGCAATTTATTTGCATAGAAACAAGCGTGATCAATTAGAGCATAAACATGAGTATAAAACCATTTTTGGATGATCAGGGCATTTAATGCAATGGTTTTTCCATGAGTAAGTGGATTTTATTATAACTATAGTAAAGTATTAGTCCATTAATTTTTTATATTTTAAATCACATATACATATTTTTAGCATTACAATAATTTGTTAATCTTGAGGGTGTTAGTTTGTTAAGTTTGGGCTTAATATGCAAAACAATTTTCATTACTCTCACTAATAAAGTACCTTAAGTATGCAATAATGGCAAACTCATTTAAAAGACATTCAAGCTCTAGCTCACATATTGAAAAAACCCATTCCCACAAGCTTATTAATATGTTAAAAAATCTAATATAACATTAAAATTTGTGTAGCACAAAAATCACATACATAGCGCAAATTTGAACTTTGTAGCAGGCACCAACGTATGCCCACCTATAAAAAATTTTACACCTTATGTCCTTGCCTATGATATGTCTTATTTGTTTAACTTTATGTCTTTGCCTTTGACATGTCTTAAAAAAAGCTAATGCCTAACAATTTTGGTGTTTAACAAAAAATGAGTCTTTTTCTGTCTTCTTCACCCACTTCAATGTTTTTTTATAATATATATTCAAGATGATTACCTATGATAAAGAATCAACTTCTTATAGCTTACTTACCTAAACATGCCCTCACCTACACTACAACAAAAAACACTCAATGTATTTGAATAAATCCTTCACTTCATCAAGGTCAAACAAGAGAAAAAATACATAAATTTTTCTATCTCATTTTTATGTCATTGAGTGTAAATTTATGATCTTTTGATTGTGATAATCTTGCTTATCTTTTGCACATCTCACTCCATGTGGTTATTTTTCATTTCTCGTGGAGGCACAATGCACTAATGTAAACATGGTGCTTTAATTACTTTTGTAAATGCTTTTTATTTATTGTGACTTATTTGCTGCACAACACCTTAATCTAGGTAGCAATTTATTAGCATAAACGCGAGCATGATCAATTAGAGCACAAATGCGAGTATAAAACTTTTTTTAGATGATTAGGGCATTGAATGCAATGGTTTTTCTGTGAGTAAATGGATCTTACTATAACTATAGTAAAGTATTAATTCCATTAATTTTTTGTATTTTAAATCACATGTACATATTTTTAGCATTATAATAATTTGAGGGTGTTAGTTTGTTAAGTTTGTGCTTAATATGCAAAACACTTTTCATTACTCTCACTAATAAAGTAGTTTAAATATGCAATAATGGCAAACACAACCCATGACATTTAAAGACATTCAAGATCTAGCTTGCATGTTGAAAAAACTCATACCCACAAGCTTATTAATATGTTAAAAAATTTGATATAATGTTAGAATTTGTGTAGCACAAAAATCACATATATGGCATGGACTTGAATTTTGCAGCAAGCACCAATACATGCCCACCTATAAAAAAAGTTGTGTTTAAAATATTATTTTGTGAGTAACACATATATATTATAAAAATTTAAGCACACATGTAAATTTTTATATATATTTTGCACACTTACACTTGCTAAATTGGCCACCCCAAGTACCCTTCCCCCAAAAAAATAAATGGCTTACCATACTAGAATTAGTAAGTACATATTAGATATAAATTTCATGATTATTACCACATAAAATCATGTTTTTGTCATGAGAAAGTTTTTTATTTTATATATTATTTTATACAAGAAACAAATCCACTTAAACCACTTACAAAATGGTAAAAAGCTCCAAAAGCCTTCACCACACTTAAAATAAATTTTAATATGGAAGAAAAATTATAATATCTTATTCTAAACTCAATTAAATCAAGTATGCAAACACTTTATAGAGAGATTTTGAATAGATTTATTAATAAAGCTCAGAAAAATTGAAATGATCAATTCATTATAATTTCAAACTTTCAAAAAAGTGTTATTTATTGCATGGAGGAAATTTTTTTGTATATTACGATCTAAAAGTAAAATTTTGTCATCCTTGTGATCAAGGTGTAGAGCATGATAAAATCTATTAACCTAAAGCCAATATTGAATAATAAGAAAAAGCAAATAAAGAAAAAATAACTGTCAATAAAAAAGAATACTTTAATTTTATCATAAAAAATTTATAATATAAATAAAATTTCCCAAAGAAATAATTTTTACTAATTAAATAATAAATGAAATATTTAGAAAAAATGCATAAGGATATAGTTATATAACAGAGGTTTAGACAATTTTTGTTAAGTACTAACTTAAACTATATTATGCATGTTTCTCATCACCTAACTAAAAACTCGATTGTGTCATTGTATCATTAACTTTATGTCCTTGCCTTTGACTTGTGTTGACATGTCTTTAACCATTTTTGGTGTTTAACAAAAAATGAGTTTTTTTTGTCTTCTTCACCCACTTCAATGTTTTTCTACAATATATGATAAAGAATCAGCTTCTTACAATATATATTCAAGATGATTGCCTATGATAAAGATCAGCTTCTTACAGCTTACTTACCTAAGCATGTCCTCACCTGCACTACGACAAAAACACTCAATGTATTTGAATAAATCCTTCACTTCATCAAGGTCAAACAAGAGAAAAAACAAAAAAAAAAAATTAAAAAAAACCCTGTGTACATTGGTCCTATTGTTCAAGTGGGAGTTTACTACTTAGAGGACAATTCTCTTCCATACGAATTAAATAGCTTTATGCATCAGTTTATCAATTGACCTTTTAAAAAGGGACAAAAAGGAAGTAAATACTTCTGATATTTCTTTCACATTACCTGAATTGATCCTGAATTACTATTTTTCTAACATTCTCTGTTTTTAGAGAGAGAGAGGAGCTTAGTTGACATCTGGTCTTGTGATTAACTGTCTTGTTTGGAGTGTACCTCTTAACTGGTATGGTTTAGGGGAATTTGCAAGTGGTTATGGAAACACAGTAATCCTAAAAGTTGGGAAAGGTCTTGAGAATCTAGCTGGTGGTGAGCGAGTACAAGGGAGAGCGGTTGAGGTAGTTGCGTGTTGATGACGACCCAGAATCAAGCATTGGTGCAACACCAGACACCCAATACCTAAACAGTTTTAAAGATGCATGAATGAATATGTGTGGGATGTGTGATCGCAAAACAAATGCCCACCCATCAAATGGCATCTCAAAGCGCATTAATTGGAAGTAAATTTTACGCAAGAACTGGGCCTAGGAGGGGGGTGGATGCGGCCCCATTCTTGCTTAGCCGCCCACTCCACTAGAGCTCTACCCTTCGCCCTTTTGACCACAGTCAGAATCTCTTTAAAAGGTTTGGACACCGTTTTGCCCTAAATTCGGAAGATTCTTTCTGCCAGAGACATGACGAAGGCGTTGCACCTCGCCATTCTCTCGGCCGCATGCACCTTCTTCTCCGGATTCCAAAACGTTGCCATTTGTTCTTGGCTCCAGCCATTTCTCCTCTTGCATTTCTTCCTCAAGTCAGGGATTTCGCGCAATTCTTGCTCATGGCGCTCCGCGGCGCTCACAATTCTCCTGGCGCTCCTCCTCCAGACCACCGCCGCGAGCCTGGCGTTCCTGGCATTCTTCCCGGGAAAGGTGAGACCGGACAGCTCCACGGCCAGCAGCGTGCCAATTGTGGGAATAATCTGGGCACTGGCGCTGTGGGTGTTTCTTCTCCTCCCATTCCTTGCAAGCATCGGCTACAGGAAGCGTTTTGATCGAGCAAGAACGTCCCAGCCGCTGGTATTCGCGTCGATCTGGACCACGGCGTGGTTCCTGTGGAACCGATTCGGCGGCGTCGGAGCCCTCCTCCATCCCGCCGTGTCGCAGGTGACAATCTTGCCCCTGGTGATGAGCGCGGGCGTGTGGGGGATGGATGGGATCGCATTCCTCATGGCGTGGTTCTCGGCGATTCTCCACGACAGGACCGTTCTCGACGAGTCTCTTCCCAAGATGGACAAATCCGACAAGAAGCGTGCTACGCAGCTGCATCGCGGCCACTCCCTGGCGTTTGGAGCCATTGCCCTCTCGACCTTGTTCTACGGCAGCGCCAGGGTCTCGGTCTTCTCGGGCGATTTCTTCCAGAAGGACATCGCCCTCACGATGAAGAAAACAGTGCCGGTCTCTTGCGTCCTGGGCAAGCTCCTCGTCTACGAGGACATGGATGTGATGCTCAACCGGACGAACCAGCGCCTCCGAGCCGGCGATCGACTGGTGCTCTGGTCCGAGGCTGCTGTGAAACTCCACCTCAAACAGGAGAGGGATTCTCTCCAATTCAAAGCCGGACAGATCGCTTCCCAGCACGGCGCCTACGTTGGCATCACTTACGAGTACAACGACGCGAGCACTGGAAGAGTCGGGAACTATTTCGACCTCGTTCTTCCCGATGGCTCCATTGGTTTTAGCTACAGGAAAGCCCACTTGGTTCCATTCGCGGAGTCGTATGTCACTCCGGGGGATCCCATTCTTCCTGCCATCGACACCGAGCTCGGCCGGATTGGAGGAGCGATTTGCTTCGACTTCGAGTTTCCAGACCTGATGCGCCAGGCCGGGGAAAAGAGGTAGAGCAAACTTTCAGTATGGTAGCCTAGAGTTCCAAGTTTTTGGTGGTGCTTTGGCAGGATTGATATCATGCTCCAACCAGCCGAGACTTGGGGAGCAACCGGCCCCCGGGTGAAAGAGGCCGATGCCTTCCGTGTCGTGGAGAACGGCTTTAGCTGGTTCCGATGCTCCACGGGAGGCGTTTCAGGGGTTGTCGATCCGTATCTCCAGACATTCGACTACAGGTGCGACAGTGTTAGATCAATGTTCGGCTGTGATATTCTTTTGGTTTCCCTTCGCTTGACAGGGAGGGTATCTCCGACTCGGTCTTCGCCATGGCGCTCCCAATACTTGGGAAGGCGTGGACGCTTTACCCCAGCTATGGCTGCCTTTTCGCGTGGCTAGTGGCAGCGCTCGCTGCGGTACACGTCTCCATGCTCTGCCTCCCTCTTGGAGCAGTGATGTACATCCTTGACAAGTCCCCGCCCGCCTTTGTGTTTTACATCACTGGTGACCGATCGTTCAAGGAGTTTGAGAAGTCGGAGCTAAGTTGCGTGCTGCTGGGCGAGTGATAGCGATCGCTATCCATCGTGCACACGCTGCCGACGCTAATACATGCGACCTTAAGATTCCTGTGACGCAGGCAGTGGAGCCCAATGCGTGGGCCAATGTATATAAAGCACCGGTAATACGAGGGGACCGACACATTAGAGAACTCCTTGCATTGAGTAGAGCTTCAATCGCTCCTTAGGTGGGAGCGCAAAGAATCTACGCTTTTTGGATGTAGCGGCGCAACTTTAGGCCAGATCTTTGGAGGGATTCAAGGCCCCAGAGAGCAACACGTAGGCGTTGGATCGCGTCGGCTGGAGCGTCACGGAATGCTTCGCTGCAAAGCGCGCTGGCTCATTGCTGGCGTGAACTTTACTCGCTGACAAAAGTGTCATCCAGGCCGTGGATTCGGGGCGGAATGGCATGCTGGAGACGAGCTCCTGGGCTTGCTTGAGCTCGCCGGAGCGACCCAAAACATCGATCAGGCAGTGGTAGTGCTCGGGCAGCGGGGGGATTTCCCAGTCCCTGGTCATGGTCGAGAAGTATTTCTTCCCTCGGTCCAGGAGCCCCACTCGGCTGCACGCCGCCAAGACGCTCACGAAGCTCAGGGCGTTGGGTATGATGCCCTCCATCTCCATCGCTCCGAAGAGCTCGAGAGTTTCGTGCCAGTAGCCATTCTGGGTGTTGCCTTGGAGCATTGTGTTCCAGGTGACTACGTCCTTCTCGGGTATGGAATCGAAGAGGAGCATTGCTTCTTTCATCCGGCAAATGTGAGCAAGGGCTTGGAGTGCTGACGTCCACGAAAGGTGGTCTCGCACTGGCATGGATTCGAACAAGGTCAAGGCTTGTTCTAGATGCCCGTTTTGGGCATATGCCGAAAGCATAGCGTTCCACGAGATAAGATCCGCATAGGGCATGTTGTTAAACACTTCTCTAGCTTCTGAAATACTGCCACTGTTTGCAAGAATTTCTATCATGATTGTGCTTGCAATGACGTCCTTTTCTGGCATTTTATGGAAGATTACCTTTGCTTCGTTACAATGCCCAGATTTGCCATAAGCAGCTATCATCGCCGTCCAGCAAGTTATGCCGTCGTCCGGCAATCTATCAAACATAGATCGCGCCTCTTCTAGTTTTCCATGCGATGCGTATGCAGCGATCATACAGTTCCATAGAACGCTGCTGTGTTCTGGAATACCATTGAAGAGTGAACTTGCCGTGTCAAGATGCCCGTTTTGAGCATATGCTGTAACCATGGCATTCCAGGAAACTATGTGTTTTTCAGGCATAGAATCAAACACTTTCCTAGCCATCGTAATATGTCCTGCTTGTGAGTATGCTGTGACCATTGTGGTCCATGAAATGACGTCTCTCTGTGGCATTTTTTCGAACAGACAGCACGCTTCCTCTAGGTGCCCATTTGAGGCAAATGCTGAGATCATTATATTCCATGAGAAAATGTTGGGATAGAGTATGGCGTCAAACACTCTTTTTGCATCTTGGGCGCTGCCGCACTTTCCATACATCTCGATCAGAAGGTTCGCAAGGTATCTGTCTGATCGATGTTGCTCAGATCCCAGGATCTGAGAGTGGACCTCCTTTGCGCGGAATAAGTCGCTGGAACCTCCAAGGGATCTGATAAACTGTACGTAGAAGCTGCGTTGTAGACACATAGAATGTATGAAATGCAATATTGAAAATGGTCACCAAGCTTCTTCCATCCCCTCAAAGCGGATTCATAGCAAATTGTCTTCACATTTACTACAAGGCATAAAGTGGATATTGCAAAACGTAATCATAAAGTGCCCAGCAAATGCCAAGGTTTGCAAAAGTATTGTGTATCTGCCTTGCACAGGGTGCAGATCATCAGTTTATTCGAAGAAACGCCACGCGTTGCAGTACAGCTTCAGCTGAGAGGCTGGCGTTTTAAAGAACACATGAATCATAGCTCCGTACATGCAAAAGAAAAAAAATGAAATAAAAACTGCAAAGCTTACTTCCCAGCAAAGACGTATTGATCACCATAACAGTTCAGCCTTTGCGAATTTGGCCAATCCGGGGCTGTGCGGCAAGCCATGCTCTTTTACTTTTCAAATGGCGTTAACATAATCGTAAGCTCACATTTTACATGCTCTGAATATGCTCCTGAGAAAAAGAGTGCCCAGATAATTATGCGCTCTTTTACATTGGTCCCTTTTTGCTAGAATTGTATATAAAGGGTTTCAGACCCTGAAAATTTCGTCCAAGTCTAGCTCGAAGCCATGGCGGAGGTGGCGAAGTTCGTAGAGCAAGTGATTATCAAGCTGGCCAATGCTGCTGAGGAGGACATGGAGCTTAACAGACAATCCAAGCCGGCCACCAGCAAGCTCAAAATGCTCGAATTTTTTGCTGGAGTGGCTGAGAAGCGATCCTACCATGCCCACTTGTTTGATAAGGGTGTCTTGATGCTTCTTGCTGCTTGGCTCAAGCCGCTTCCAGATGGGTCACTGCCCCATGCCATGATTCGCAGCACAATCTTCACAATCTTGCTTGAGAAGATGCCGATCGATTTGGATGATGAGACGAGAAAGAAGCAACTTGCATGGAGTGGCCTGGGCATGCTGGTGAGGTATTATTTAGAGCACAAGGAAGAGACACAGGAGAATAAATTGCTGGCCAAGAGGCTCATTGAGAAATGGAGTCGCGTGATCTTCGACACAGGAATTTGCCAGAGCAAGGTCGTCCACGATGAAACAATTGATAAGGTTTCTTCTCCATCGAAAAAGCGACCAGCAATAGCGATTGTGGAAGAAAATCTGGATCTCAGGGAGAAGCCATCTCCAAAGAAGAGAAGAATTCCACCAATCACAGCTCCCCAGCCCATGACCATGAATTTCTCGATTCGTCCGAAGTCTAGGTTTGATGGAGAAGCGATTAGAGAGAGTATAATGCAACGTGAAGCAATGGAATCCAAGAGGGCGAGGATAAACAAGTCCATGAAGCGACTACACGATGCCAACAAGAGAAGGCCCAGAGTCATGGGGGGCCGAGGTGTCCTCCTAATGTAAGAGATGTTCTCTGCTTGAGAGATCAAGCTAAGACTTGGTAACTATGAGAATGTTTTTAAAAGGTGCCAATCTTACATTGGTTACATCGATTTTTGCGCATCGAAAATAATCATATTCATTCATTCATTCCTGTTTTACAGCCTTGGAATTTTCTTGCCGTACAATATTTAGTGACCGAACTAAGAACATAATACGAAGAATAGAAACGCTGCAACTAGAAAGAATCCAAGAACCAAGATCTCGACGGATGGAACCACATACCTTGGACAATCGAAGCGATCATCGGTTGATTCTCGCTCGGAACAAAACTTTGATCCTCGCGCGCGCGATCAACACCTGCAAAACAGCACAAGCAGCACGCTCCCTACGCAGGTATTAACCTGTTCAGGTGCAAAGGGACTCTCTCAGCCTGTCCCTGAGACGGACAAGCACCCCTGGTGCTACCACTGTCAGCAATGCAAAATAGCGAACCTTCAAACTTATAGAGCAAAAACGAAAGAGAAATCTAGCTACACATGCGAGAGCACCACCACTTATTCCCTACAAACCAAACCAAACACTACCTTCAAACTTGATCGTCATCTTCTCCAGATCCAAATCCTGGCACTCCTTTCCTTGGCGAGATCACCTACAAAGACAAAGCTTTCAAGCAACTGAAGAAAAGAAAGAAAAACTTACCTTGTGAGACAAGATGATCTTTGGTCCATCGCTCTTAAGCAACTGGTTCCTTGCTTTCCTCCGGTAAGTAGATCTCCCCGCCGGACTCTCCCCACTGCTCGCCGGTGATGGTCTTCTTCGCAGCTGAAAACTCCTGGCTCATCTTAGCCATGCCGTCTTTCATCGCGTCCTCCATATTGGTGTAGCCATGCTCCTCGGCATACTTCCTCACGTCCTCCGTGATCTTCATGGAGCAAAACTTTGGACCACACATGGAGCAAAAGTGCGCGACTTTTGCTCCTTCGCTCGGCAGCGTCTCGTCGTGAAACGCCATCGCTGTCATGGGGTCCAACGACAGCGCAAACTGGTCCCTCCACCGGAACTGGAATCTCGCCGTGCTCAGCGCGTCGTCCCAAGCCTGAGCAAAAGGATGCTGTTTCGCAAGGTCCGCAGCGTGAGCAGCGATCTTGTAAGTTATCACCCCTTGCTTCACGTCGTCCCTGTTCGGCAGCCCGAGATGTTCCTTCGGCGTCACGTAGCACAGCAGCGCAGTCCCAAGAGCTCCAATGGTGGCGGCTCCAATGCCCGAAGTTATGTGATCGTATCCAGGGGCGATATCGGTCGTCAAGGGCCCCAGCGTGTAAAACGGTGCCTCGTTACACCAGTCGAGCTGCTTCTCCATGTTTTCTGGGATCTTGTGGAGTGGTACGTGGCCGGGGCCTTCGTTCATCACCTGGACATCCTTCTCCCAGGCCCGGCGAGTGAGCTCGCCTTGGACAGCCAGCTCCGAGAATTGCGACTGATCGTTCGCGTCGTGGATCGAGCCGGGTCGCAGGCCATCGCCGATGGAGAGCGAGATATCATACTGGTTGCAAATGTCGAGGATATCGTCCCAGTGCTCGTACGCAAAGTTCTCCTTGTGATGCGTCAGGCACCACTTTGCGTGAATGGAGCCACCCCTGGAAACTATTCCCGTCACCCGGTTTGCTGTGAGTGGGATGAACCGCAGCAGCACACCAGCATGGATCGTGAAGTAGTCCACACCCTGCTCGGCCTGTTCCAGGAGAGTTTCTCGAAACACCTCCCACGTCAAGTTCTCGGCGATGCCGTCAACTTTCTCGAGCGCTTGATAGATGGGAACAGTCCCGACCGGCACCGAAGCGTTCCTTAGAATCCACTCTCTCGTCTCGTGGATATGGCGGCCTGTGGACAGATCCATGATCGTGTCAGCTCCCCATCGAGTCGCCCACAGTAACTTCTGGACTTCCTCCTCGATCGAGCTCGTCACAGCCGAGTTGCCGATGTTTGCGTTAACTTTGACGAGGAAGTTCCTCCCTATGATCATCGGCTCCAGCTCCGTGTGCTTCTTGTTGGAGGGAATGATCGCCCGGCCTCGAGCAACCTCCGAGCGGACGAACTCGGGTTCCATGCTCTCTCTGGTCGCGCAGTAGAGCATCTCCTCAGTGATGACTCCCTTCTTTGCGTAGAACATTTGCGTCATCCTTGGCTCGGACTTTGCCCCGCGTCTCTCGATCCAAGCTTTCCTGAGTTTCGGGATTCCTGCGCAAAGGCATGCATGAGAGAAAAAAAAAGAATGGATCGACAGCATACCAGTTCGCGGATCGATGTTTTGCGGTCCAGTGGTATCGTAGAGATCAAACGGGGGGTGTCCACCGGATAGATGCACGCGACGAAAGGGAACCTTGAGCGTAGATCCTGTTTCTTCATGCACAACGTCTCTAAGAAATGCAAAGAAAGAGACCAATCGATCAATCGTAGAGAAAGAAACCAATCGATCAATCGATAAAAGAAGAAGAAGATTTCTTACGTGGTTTCTTTTGTGCAATTTGGGAAGCACTCCTCGAACGATGGCAGTGGCATGAACTTTGGGGCTGAAGGATCCTCCGTGGGACGCGTCCTTGCCGAGAGCAATCCCTTCGAGTGCCCATTCGATGCCCCGGTTGCGGCCGCGGGGACGGCATTCACCGCCTTAATCACCAGAGTTCTCACCTTCTTGGCCTTGGTCGATCCCAGGAGCCGCGCCACGGCGCCTTGATTCGATCCCATCGCCGCATCGCTGTGGGAGATGGAAGAGAGGGCGCAGCTCGACGCCATAGTGGCCATCGATCGAGCTCGAAATATCCCAAAATGCCAAAGTTCCCTCTCTCTTTAATTGGAGGGAGAAATATCTATGCCAACCTTTGCTCGTACACATTTCTTTGACCGTACACATCACGTTCTATATAAGCGCTTATTTTCAAATGGAATGATCGTTCCGTCTCCCCATTTCTCTTCAAAACCTGTTCATGCCGAGTGAAGAAAAACTTTGCTGCTGCTGCTGCTGCTGTTGCTGCTGTTGCTGCTGCTGCTTGGAGGAATTTCCGCTGCTCGGCATTCCAACTGCGTCGTGCGATTGGAAGCTCTGATGGTGCCGGTGATGGTGGTGGTGAACTTGATGAGCCGCTTGATGAGGCTGCTGCTGTTGATGAGCTTGAGCTTTCGGCGATGGAGACCCTCCATCGCTGGCAGCAGAGGTTAGAATGTATTGAGTGTTTTGAGTACCGATAGCTGTCGAGGCAGATGATCCGGCCGAGAGTTCGTAGCTTGTTGGAGACTTTGTCCATGCGTCTGATGACAGAAGAGAGAGAGCACGGCCTGAGTCGAGCACGGGGCTTAGTCCTCCGCCGCCTCCCCCTCCACCCCCGCCCGAGGAGGAGGAGAGCGAGAGTTTCATCTGGTCCGGCTTGGCCATGCTGCTGTTTGACGCCGTGATGGCTGCTGCTGTTGTCGACGACGACGAGGAGATCGTCGGGAGGCCGGTTGGTCTCTTGGAGTTTTGGAGCAGCAGCAGCAGCTTCTCCGGGGAGAGGTTCTCCACAAGCTGTTTGCTGAGGAACTGGTCGCGGCCGAGGCGTCCCCAGGCGCCGGCGCCGTAGCCGAGAGCGTGATCGCTGTGACTGTCGACGATGATCGAGGAGCCGACGCCGAGCCTTTGGTAAGCAGCTGGCCAAAGGAGAAAAAGCAACGTCAGCCGAGATAAAGCAGCGAAGTTTATATGAACTTCACCTTGGAAGCTAGCGTTTCCCATGTTGTAAGCAGCTAGAGCGTCGGGCTGTGGCTTCCTCCGGCGCTCGTTGTGCCCCTGGAGACGTCTCCGGCAGCTCCGTTTCCCCTCGTCAAACTCGGGCAGCAAGTGGAACCTGTGAGAGCAAGACCAGAGTGTGTGAGCCAACTAATGATTGTAAGGAAAGAACCAGCAAAGAATTCGTTCAAGCAAGAGAGAAAAGAATAAGAAACGAGAAAAATCGCTCTCCTGGCACACAAAGCTTGCAAGCAAGATCGAAGAAAAAAAGAGAAAAGCATAAGTATGGAGTGATGGAAAAAATCTCTCCTGACACTTCCACTCACGCACTGACCTGCTGCATTGCTGACAGAATCTTTGCTCCTGGCCATTGACAGTGTTCTTGGGAGTCTTGGAGTGGACTTCGCAAACTTTGTGGCGGCGGTGGTAGTCCTTGGAGCCGGAGAGATCCGCCTGGCAGCCCTCGACTTGGCACTTGGGAGTGACGCTGGTTTGCGAGCAGCCCCGCCCCTTTTTGGCCGGAGGAGTTGAGGATGGAGGAGGCGTTCCGGCCGCCGCTGGCGCTGGCGACGCCTTTTGCTCCTCGTAGGTCCTCTTGCCGAGCTTCAAGGCCATGGGAGACGAGGAATTCGCCGCTTCTTTCGTGTCCTCGTCCATCTCCTCCCAAGATCGCGCCTGCGCTCCGCCCGGCGAGGATTTGCCGGGGCTGTAGCCGCTGATGCCGCTGCTGCAAAACCCTAACTCCTCCCCGGGATTTCTCGGCGCCTTGACGGATTTCCACTCCCAGGGCTGCTGCTGCTGCTGCTGCATCTTACCTCGGTCCGCGTCGCCGCTGGCCGGGGATTTCGATCCTCCTGCGCTGGTCTTGGACGGGGAGAGCGCTGCGGGAGAATAGGAGGGAGAAGAGGACGACGCCATTCCTTTCTCTTTCTTTTTTCTTCTTTTCTCTTCTCTGGTTGGTTTTTGTTTTCTCTCCCCTGTTGTTGGTGTGTGTACACTAAAATTTTAAATGGCGAATATTGTATTAAATACAGGTAAGAAATTGGCAGCACGATTTCTGGATTGGTGGAAATGCTGCATTCCTATTGGACGCTGTAAAGCCCATGAACCGCTTTATACCGTTCCGGGCCCGACACGTGTCCGTATGGGACAGCACGGATGGGTGCCACCGGCCCGCCTGAGTGGAGAATATTCCTGTTTATGGGATTACATTAACTTAAATCTATGTTAAACCATGACCTAATTTGTAATCTTCTACATGCCACTGCCATCGTTCGAGGAGTGCTTCCCAAATTGCACCAAAGAAACCACGTAAGAAATCTTCTTCTTTTTCATGGATTGATCGATTGGTTTCCTTCTCTACGATTGATCCATTGGTCTCTTTCTTTGCATTTCTTAGAGACGTTGTGCATGAAGAAACAGGCTCTATGCTCAAGGTTCCCTTTCGTTGCGTGCATCTATCCGGTGGACACCCCCCGTTTGATCTCTACGATACCACTGGACTGCAAAACATTGATCCGCGAAATGGTATGCGGTCGATCCATTCTTTTTTTTCTCTCATGCATGCCTTTGCGCATGAATCCCGAAACTCAGGAAAGCTTGGATCGAGAGACGCGAGGCAAAGTCCGAGCCAAGGATGACGCAAATGTTCTACGCAAAGAAGGGAGTCATCACTGAGGAGATGCTCTACTGCGTGACCAGAGAGAGCATGGAACCCGAGTTCGTCCGCTCGGAGGTTGCTCGAGGCCGGGCGATCATTCCCTCCAACAAGAAGCACACGGAGCTGGAGCCGATGATCATCGGGAGGAACTTCCTCCTCAAAGTTAACGCAAACATCGGCAACTCGGCTGTGACGAGCTCGATCAAGGAAGTCCAGAAGTTACAGTGGGCGACTCGATAGGGAGCTGACACGATCATGGATCTGTCCACAGGCCGCCATATCCACGAGACGAGAGAGTGGATTCTAAGGAACGCTTCGGTGCCGGTCGAGACTGTTCCCATCTATCAAGCGCTCGAGAAAGTTGACGGCATCGCCGAGAACTTGACGTGGGAGGTGTGTCGAGAGACTCTCCTGGAACAGGCCGGGCAGGGTGTGGACTACTTCACGATCCATGCTGGTGTGCTACTGCGGTTCATCCCACTCACAGCAAACCGGGTGACGGGAATAGTTTCCAGGGGTGGCTCCATTCACGCAAAGTGGTGCCTGACGCATCACAAGGAGAACTTTGCGTACGAACACTGGGACGATATCCTCGACATTTGCAACCAGTATGATATCTCGCTCTCCATCGGCGATGGCCTGCGACCCGGCTCGATCCACGACGCGAACGATCAGTCGCAATTCTCGGAGCTGGCTGTCCAAGGCGAGCTCACTCGCCGGGCCTGGGAGAAGGATGTCCAGGTGATGAACGTAGGCCCCGGCCTCGTACCACTCCACAAGATCCCAGAAAACATGGAGAAGCAGCTCGACTGGTGTAACGAGGCACCGTTTTACACGCTGGGGCCCTTGACGACCGATATCGCCCCTGGATACGATCACATAACTTCGGGCATTGGAGCCGCCACCATTGGAGCTCTCGGGACTGCGCTGCTGTGCTACGTGACGCCGAAGGAACAGCCGAACAGGGACGACGTGAAGCAAGGGGTGATAACTTACAAGGTCGCTGCTCACGCCGCAGACCTTGCGAAAGCATTCTTTCGCGCAGGCTTGGGACGACGCGCTGAGAACGGCGGGACTCTAGTTCCGGTGGAGGGACCAGTTTGCACTGTCGTTGGACCCCATGACAGCGATGGCGTTTCATGACGAGACGCTGCCGAGCGAAGGAGCAAATGTCGCGCACTTTTGCTCCATGTGTGGTCCAAAGTTTTGCTCCATGAAGATCACGGAGGACGTGAGGAAGTATGCCGAGGAGCATGGCTACACCAATATGGAGGATGCGATGAAAGACGGCATGGCTAAGATGAGCCAGGAGTTTTCAGCTGCGAAGAAGACCATCACCGGCGAGCAGTGGGGAGAGTCTGGCGGGGAGATCTGTTTTGCAGGTGTAGATCGCGTGTGCGAGCGTCAAAGTTTTGTTCCGAGCGAGAATCAAACGATGATCGCTTCGATTGTCCAAGGTAGTGGTTCCATCCGTCGAGATCTTGTTTTTTCTTGGATTCTTCCTAGTTGTTTTCATTCTTCGTATGATATTCTTTCTAACTAGTTGATCACTAAATATTGTACAATGTAAAACAGGAATGAATGAATGAATTTGCAATGTAAACCTTTTACATTCTCATAGTTTCAAGTGTATAAAATCTTAGCTCGATCTGTCAAGCAAAGAACGTGTCTTACATTGCAAAGAACATCTCTTACATTACGAGGACACCTCAGCCCCCATGACTCTGGGCCTTCTCTTGTTAGCATTGTGTAGTCGTTTCATGGACTTGTTTATCCTCGCCCTCTTGGATTCTATTGCTTCACGTTGCGTTATACTCTCTCTAATCACTTTTCCATCAAACTTAGACTTTGGACGAATCGAGAAATTCATGGTCATGGGCTTGGGAGCAGTGGTTGGCGGAATTCTTCTCATTCTTTGGCTTCTCCTCGAGATCCAAATTTTCTTTTACAATCGCTGTTGTTGGTTGTTTTTTTTTATGGAGAAGAAATCTCACCAATTGTTTCATTGTGGACAACTTTGCTTTGGCAAATCACTATGTCAAAGATCACATGTCTTCATTTCTCAATCAGCCTTTTAGCCAACATTTTATTTTTATATGTCTATTCTTTGTGCTTTAAAAAATATCTTACCAACTTGCCCAACCAACTCCACACTAATTACTTCTTTTTTCGTCTCATCATCCAAATCAATTTGCATTTTTTCAAGCAAGATTGTGCTACGAATCATGGCATGGGACAATGACCCATCTGGAAGTGGCTTGAGCCAAGCGGTGAGAAGCATCAAAACATTCTTATCACACCTGGGCATGGTAGAATCGCTTCTCAACCACTCCAATGAGAAATTCAAGCATTTTCAGCTTGCTGGTGCCCGGCTTGGATTGCCTGTTTAGCTCCACAGCAGCATTGGCCAGCTTGATAATCAGTTGCTCTAAGAACTTTGCCACCTTCGACATGGCTTCGAGCTAGACTTGGACGAAATTAATTTACAACTTCAGGGTCTGAAATCCTTATATACAATTCTAGCAAAACGGGACAAATGTAAAAGAACGCATATTATCTGGGTTTTTTTTTTCAGGAGCATATTCAGAGCATGTAAAATGTTTTGAAAAGTAAAAGGCGCTTGCCGCAGTCCGCCGCTAGTTATGGCGCCAGTGAGGTCGTTGTGGGAGACGTTCAAGTAGTTCATGTTCTTGAGCGCCAGGAATTCCACTGGAATCTTGCCGGTCAAGGCGAGATTCAGCGTCTTCAAGCTCGTGAGATTGGCGAGGCTGGGAGGGATGGCGGCAGTGGAGCGCCGTGAGTTGGCCAAGCTCTGGTGGATTTTCCCAGTGATGCGGTTGGAGCTGAGGCTCAGCACTGCGATGCATTTCGTCTTGGATCATTGTTGGAGAACCAGCTCGGGATGGCTCCTGTGAGCTGCGACGAGATCGATCCGGACCCTCCCAAGTCGAGAACTTCCAGATGACGCAGCTTAACCAAAGGCAGGAGGTACGGGACCATCCACGCCATTATCTCGTTAAAGATTTTGTACTACACATCCACATCGACCAAGTGAAAATAACATCACGTTGAAAGAAATAAAACTCCTCTCCTAGTAATGCTACTCAAGAATTCAGTCGCATGCAATGCCATGCTAGCCGGATATTCCCACGCTGGCAAAGTTGAGCAGGCAAGTGTCTATTTGACAAAATGTCAAGTTGGAGTTTAGTATCGAGGAGCTCACTGCTGTATGCCTATGCAGGATCAAGAGATATGGACTTGACACGACGATTTTCGATAATATACCATATCAGCAGCTAGTTTCCTGGAACACCATGCTTGATGCTTATGCCCGAAACGGGTATATGGCATGGTCATGTTCCATGCTAGAAAAACTTTTCAGAGAAGAATGGATTTTCTTGGGATGCAATGCTCACTTGCGTGTACCCAAGCAGGGGATTTGGTTTCTGTATTTGAGTTGTTTCACAATATGCAGATGGCCGGCATTTACAATTAAGGTAGATTTGTCTCAGCTCTTAGTGCTCACGGCCAAGTTGGTAGTGTTGAATGTGCTAGAAGTTACTTTGTGTTTCGATGGCTTTTGATTGTGGCATTCAACCATGTCACCATCATTACTCCCGCATGATCGATGGCTTGGCAAGAGCTGGTTACATTAAGAGAACTGATCACAAACATGCAATTTGGTCCCACTTCTTTGGATTGGCTGTGCCCCTTAGCTGCATGTCGGCACCTCATTGCTGTGAGCAGCAGAGCCATGTATCCTCTCTTGGCAAATGTACGGGCATAGCATTGATAGAATCTAAAGAAAACCAAAAACTGCTGCCTAGATTATGTTGTCAAAGTTTTAAGACTCGAAGTCAAACTCTTAACAATTGCATTTCAAATTCAAATAATTTTGTCTTTATTGTCAATCATTCTATGTGTCTACAAATGACGCCTTGCTGTTCAGCAGACAAAGTAGGGAATATGTCTGATTCTATGCGAATATGCTCAAAACTTCAAAAGCATAACTAGAAGGCGATCAATGTTTGATAGATTGCCTAATGACTATAGCTGCGATGATAGTTACTAACAATATGGAGGCTAGTGACCTACAACAATCTTGGTTGCCTTGTCGCTACACAGAACAAAGTTATTTTTTTATGCAATGCCGCAGCACGATCTCGTCACCTGGACTGTGATGCTTGGCGCATGCGCACTAAACGAGGATGTTGAATTTTCCACAGATGCCTGAGATCGAGCAACACCGTCATGCAATGCTACATGTTAGACAATCAAAGCTTATATTTGACTCCATGCCGCAGAGAGCTCTCTCGTCGTGGACAACAATGCTCAATGTTCTTGCCAAGAACAGCACCGGGGAGGAAACCAAGAGCTTTTTCTATCAAATGTTGCTCTCACAACCATCAAACTTGGAGCTTGTGAAGGCCACCTTTGATCAAATGCCGCAGCAAGACTTGTGCATTTGGAACTCTATTCTTTCGGCGTAAGCTATCATGGAGCTCCACAAGAGTTGGTCCCTATCAAAAAAATTCCTTGATGCCCTTCCCGGGAAAATGCAGATATTACAAGCGACAACGTTGCTGTGAAAGATTAAAGCAACTTCACGTAGTTTACTAGCTAGAGGTAGAACGCATTTAACATTGTGTTGTTCGACGAGGCCTCGGGCATCTCGTTAAAGATTCTTAATGTAAAGTCACAATCTCCTGATCGGGCATATGCAGAAGTAAGCGCCACAGCCAAATGCAAGCCATCGATTCTCCAAACTCTTCGTGCTTTGCATCCATGCAAACAGCCACAAAGGCAGAAGGGACATTAATTAATTAATTAAAAGGCAAAGCCATTTTGAAAGTAGAAGTCCGCCATTTTCAGGACAGGGCTAGGGTTTTTGGGGAGCACGGGGGCAGGGGCTTGCCGCAGAGCCCCGGATTGGCGGCGAAGTTGTCCGGGTCCATGTCGATGAGCGGCTGTCCGCTAGGTATGGCGCCAGTGAGCTGGTTGTGGGAGACATTCAAGTTGACCAGGTTCTTGAGCGCTAGGAATTCCACTGGAATCTTGCCGGTCAAGCGGTTCTGGGCGAGGTTCAGCCTCAACACGCTCGTGAGATTGCCGAGGCTGGGAGGGATGGTGCCAGTGAGCGCGTTGTCGTCCAGGTAGAGCTCTGTGACTTGGGTCAGCTGGCCAAGCTCTGGTGGGATTTCCCCAGTGATGCGGTTGGAGCTGAGGCTCAGCACTGCGACGTCGCTGACTTGGGTCATCGGGATCTTGCCGAACCAGCTCGGGATGGCTCCTGTGAGCTGGGAGTGGTCAAGCAGGAGGAAGGAAACTTGGGGGAGCGTCGACAGTCCTTCGAGAGCATGAAAGCTGAGATTGTTGTGGTGGAGTCCGAGGTAGTAGAGCGCTCCTTTTCCCATGTTGCTCAAGTCTTCCGGTACTCCCGTAAGGAAGTTGTCCCGCAGCTCCAAATACCTCAGCTTGGGGAGTGTTTTTCCAAAGCTGTCTGGAAGTTTTCCTTGGAGCTTGTTGGACTCGAGGTAGAGATGCTTGAGGCTGGAGATTCGTCCCAATGAATTGGGCAAAGCTCCGGTGATGGAGTTGAAGGAGAGGTCGATCTCGCATGTCAGGTCGTCGGGGTGTACCTTGAGGTTGATGCTTCCAAACCAGGAAGGTATTGGCCCTTGAAGCTTGCAGTCGCGGAGAGAGATCGTTGAGAGCTCCGGGAGTGTTGTCAGCCCGGAGATGGCGTCAAAGCTCGTGATATCATTGTAGTCAAGGCGGATGACTTGCAAGCTGGTAAGGTTGGCCATGTTGGTGGGAAGCCCAGTGAGTTTGTTCATTGACAACTGCAACGTTTTGAGGTTTTTGAGGCCCCCTTGAGCAAATCCTTCTGGGATCCTGCCACTCAATGAGTTGGACGAGACATCGAGGCTGACAAGTTTGATAAGTTGGCCGAGAGAACTTGGTATTTGTCCGGTAAGCCGACCGCGAGCCAACGAAAGTTCTTCCAGGGAAGAGAGCTGACCGAAAGAGCTTGGAATGGAGCCACGGATACTGTTGCCAGACAGGTCCAGTACTTTGAGCTTCTTGAGGTTGCCGAGCGTGTCAGGGAATCGTCCAGCGACGGCGGTGCCTGATATCTTCAGCGTCTCTAAGCTGGCAAGGTTGCCTAGCGATGGAGGAATGGAGCCGGACAGCATGGTGACACTTAAGTCGAGATACTCCAAGTTTTGGAGGTCGCCGAGGCTCTTCGGAATGGATCCTGTGAGCTGGGAAATGCGCGAGAGATCGAGACGTTGGAGGCTTTTCAGCTCCCCCAAAGACGAAGGAATGGAACCTGTGAGCTTGGAAGAGTCCGAGAGATCGAGCTGCTCAAGGCTTTTCAGTTTCCTCAAGAAGGAAGGAATGGAGCCCGTGAACCAGCTTCCTTGGAGATTTAAGACAGTGAGATTCTCAAGGTTGACGAGGAACGAAGGAATGCTGCCGGCAGACGCATCAGCTCTTTCCAGGATGAGCTTCCTCAAGCTGGTAAGTTTTCCAATAAGCGATGGAAACGGTCCTTCGAATCTATAACCTGACAGATCCAGTATTTGCAGCGTGAATGCGAGCTGAGCAAGAGACGATGGCAGCGGTCCGGAGAAGAAGAAGTTCCCGCCCAAGTCGAGAACTTCCAGTCGAAGTAGCTTACCAAAGGTGGAAGGTATCGGACCGTTCATACCATTGCCGCGGACGTTGAGAGCGCGGAGATGAGTGAGGCTTCCCAGCTCCGGAGACAGCGTACCTGTTAGTCCTACGGATTCCAGGTTGAGCTCGCTCACCCGTCCGCTAGCTCCGTCGCATTTGACACCAGGCCAGGCACAGCAGCTGGATTCCTGGGTCCAGTTGGTGAGCAGCTTACTCCGAGTCTCGTCGGCATTTTTGAAAGCCAGCAATGCCTTCTCGTCTTCGCTGTTGCAGGATGCCGCAGTGGTGCCGTGAGCGAGGAGTGAAACGAGGAAGGCAATAAGAAGTGTTCTAGACATCGCAAACACAATGACGATACGAGGTACACAAAGAGGCTCACTCTCTATTTACGTAGGACTGCGCACTGTGAGGGAAGAAAGGATGGATGAAAATGGGAGAGCGTCCAAAGGGACTTAAACTATGATAGATCAAGGATTGCGCAGAATTTTTCCTTCTTTCTCACTTCCCCATGCTTCTTAGTTGCACTAGTCCTTGGTTTTCGTGTTTTATTACTGCCTGGCTGACAAGCCTTTCACTACTTGACAACTCACAAGGCATACCATGTTCGTGCCAGGGCATAGCCAAGAAAGAAGTATTTTTTGACGAATTGACCATTGTACTGACCGAGTGTGCCTGCTAAGTACATGAATCTCTCAGCTGACACACTGAAAAAGTCACGTACACGATTTTCACGCTTGGTCGTCCTGATCCAGACATCACTTTGTATCTTGGAACGTAGTTAGTGGAGGCCACAGTGGAGGAGGCTGTGGTGGAGGGGAGGTGACTAAAATGATCTCTTAGATCTCAATATGTACAGGAATTTTGTTTGCGAGCTTGTGTAATTGTTTGCTAATAACAACGCATAGACATAATTAATACATAGCATGAAGGCAGTGGCAGTCAACAAACAACTAAGGTAATGGCTTTTGAGATGTGTTCCATCCCAAGGTCTGCAATACTAAGAGAGATGTTTTATATGCAATAACAAGCACTTGAAATATCTTATATAAGGAAAGTGTAATTGTTATGACTGCTCATGATGAGCATCTGACAGTAATCTACAAGCTAAGGTTAATGTACAATTTCATATGATCGTCATGAATCTCTTGAATAGCTTTTTCCTTGACTTTCCATCTTTTATATATCTAATGGTAATGTGGGGACCTTCATTTAACATTAGTGTCCCATGCTTCTGGTAAACAACTCTATATTGATTCTTATGTTTCTTAGTTGGGCACAAATAAATTATAAAAAAATTTATCATTACTTCTTGGCTTGATTGGTGCCTCCATTTGGGGCCCCATGTTCCATATCCTTCAAAAGCGGGACGTTATCCAAGCTCCAGACCATGAAAAGATGGTGAGGGTTGGCCACAGTGGCACATTAGTTAATAGTCATGAATTTTTATTTTTAATTTTTTTGCCATGCCTTGGGATGAACATGGTGAGACAGCCACTAAAACTGCTCCAAGAGAGTGCTTTGGGAGGATCAGGATGTATGGCAAGCTTTCAAGAGTCAAGGATGCTTGGAAAGTTTTCGATCGCATGCGTGACAAGGACTTAGTGTCTTTGTTCTTGATGCTGGCTTTGTATGCGCAAAATGATCATGTAGAAGAGGCCAAGCTGATGTTTTCCGCCATTTGATGTCGAGAGTGCGATTGCGGGCATGGATGCCTGCCTGAGAATCATGGCTGTCAGTGTTTGATCGCCCATAGAACTGAACACACGCTTTGCCTCTTGCGGATACCTGGTTTGGGCATATATTTTGGGTACAAATTCCAAGCAGCTAGTCTCTGGCATTTCTTCAAAGGTGTTCTTAGCTTCGTCCACATTTCTATTATTTGTATGCAACGTGAAAACCACCGTCCTAGAGATCATACTTCTCTCAAGCATGGCATCAAACACCTGAATCATCTGGTTGATATACCCGTTTTTGGCATATGCAGAGATCACAGCGTTCCAATAAATCCCTGTGAGGCATCTCGTTAAGATTTTGTAAGCTTCCTCTACACATCCACACCGACCAAGTGAAGATAACATCATGTTGAAAGAAATCAAACTCCTCTCCAAATAATGCCACTCAAGAATCCAGTGACATGCAACGCCATGCTAGGCGGATATGCCCATGCTGGCAAAGTCGAGCAGGCAAAGTGTATATTTGACAAAATGCCATGTTGGAGTTCAGTGTCGTGGAGTTCACTGCTGTATGTCTACGCAGGGTCAAGAGATATGGACTTGACATGACGACTTTTCGATAAAATGCCATACCAGCAGCTAGTTTCCTGGAATACCATGCTTGATGCTTATGCCCAAAACGGGTATATGGCAGAAGCAAGGGTCATGTTCAATGCAATGGTGGAGAAGGACGTAATTTCTTGAACTATAATGCTTGCTGGTTATGGTCTTAATGGCAAGAATGTGCTAGAAGTTTCTTTGGCTTTTGATTGTGGCATTGAGCCATGTCACCAGCATTACTCTTGCATGATCGATGGCTTGGCACGAGCTGGTTACATAGACAATGCAAGAGAACTCATCGCAAACATGCCATTTGCTGCCACTTATTTGGATGGGCTGTGCCTTTTAGCTGCATGTTGGAGCCTCAAGTGTGGAACCTGCATATCGAAATGGGTGTCTGGAATTGCTGTGAGCAGCAGAGCCGTGTTCTCATGGCAAATTTATGGGCCTAGCATTGACAGAATCTAAAAAACAAACGAACTGCTGCCCAGACTATCTTAACAATTGCGTTTCAAATTCAAATAATTTTGTCTTTATTGAAAATCATTCTATCTATATCCCAGGATCTGAGCGTGGACCTCCTTGCTCTGAGGGATCTCGCGAGCAGCTTCAATCAGAGAAATACCTTGGAAATCTTGTGATCGAGGTGTAGCAGGCGAAAGCGTGTTTGATGACTCCTTGCTGCAAAAAGTAGGGAATGCGAATCTTCGATTCTTCCAAAAGCATAACTAGAAGACGATCAATATTTGATAGACTTTATGATAGCTGCTAACGAAGCAAAGATAATTCCTTTGCTCACATGCCACGATTCTCACGATGGAGCAAACCCAATGCCCTAAGCTTCGTGAGCGTGGCTTTTGAAATCCCTTTCCACTCCGTGACACTCCAGCCGACTTGATCCAACGCCTTAGACTGCTTCGAAATCCGGCCAAGAGGCTACATCCAAAAAATGTGTGATTCTCGATTAAGTCAGTTTCCTCATGGCATATGCCCGAACTGGGCATACTCTCAATGATATTCAATGAGATGCCGCAACACAGCTCTCTCATAGAATGCAATTCTGTCCGTCCACCCACAGCTGGGATAAACAATGCCGAGAAAATTCTCTCCGAGAGGCCTGAGTATGATCTCTTCCATGCTCGCGGCATATTCCCGGAAGGAGGAAGTCCAGAAGTTACAGTGGGCGACTCGATGGGGAGCTGACACGATCATGGATCTGTCCACAGGCCGCCATATCCACGAGACGAGAGAGTGGATTCTAAGGAACGCTTCGGTGCCGGTCTGAACTGTTCCCATCTATCAAGCGCTCGAGAAAGTTGACGGCATCACCGAGAACTTGACGTGGGAGGTGTTTCGAGAAACTCTCCTGGAGGTGTGCTGCTGCGGTTCATCCCACTCACAGCAAACCGGGTGACGGGAATAGTTTCCAGGGGTGGCCCCATTCACGCAAAGTGGTGCCTGACGCATCACAAGGAGAACTTTGCGTACGAACACTGGGACGATATCCTCGACATTTGCAACCAGTATGATATCTCGCTCTCCATCGACGATGGCCTGCGACCCGGCTCGATCCACGACGCGAACGATCAGTCGCAATTCTCGGAGCTGGCTGTCGAAGGCGAGCTCACTCGCCGGGCCTGGGAGAAGGATGTCCAGGTGATGAACGAAGGCCCCGGCCACGTACCACTCCACAAGATCCCAGAAAACATAGAGAAGCAGCGCGACTGGTGTAACGAGGCACCGTTTTACACGCTCGGGGCCTTGACGACCGATATCATCACATAACTTCGGGCATTGGAGCCGACATCAATGGAGCTCTCGGGACTGCGCTTCTGTGCTACGTGACTCTTAAGGAACATCTCGGGCTCCCGAACAGGGATGACGTGAAGCAAGGGGTGATAACTTACAAGATCGCTGCTCACGCTGCGGACCTTGCGAAACAGCATCCTTTTGCTTAGGCTTGGGACGACGCGCTGAGCACGGCGAGATTCCAGTTCCGGTGGAGGGACCAGTTTGCGCTGTCCTTGGACCCCATGACAGCGTTGGCGTTTCACGACGAGACGCTGCCGAGCGAAGGAGCAAAAGTCGCGCACTTTTGCTCCATGTGTGGTCCAAAGTTTTGCTCCATGAAGATCACGGAGGACGTGAGGAAGTATGCCGAGGAGCATGGCTACACCAATATGGAGGACGCGATGAAAGACGGCATGGCTAAGATGAGCCAGGAGTTTTCAGCTGCGAAGAAGACTATCACCGGCGAGCAGTGGGGAGAGTCCGGTGGGGAGATCTACTTACCAGAGGAAAGCAAGGAACCAGTTGCTTAAGAGCGATGGCTGAAAGATCATCTTGTCTCACAAGGTAAGCTTTTCTTTCTTTTCTTCAGTTGCTTGAAAGCTTTGTCTTTGTAGGTGATCTTGCCAAGGAAAGGAGCGACAGGATTTGGATCTGGAGAAGATGACGATCAAGTTTGAAGGTAGAGTTTGGTTTGGTTTGTAGGGAATAAGTGGTGGTGCTCTCGCTTGTGTAGCTAGATTTCTCTTTCGTTTTTGCTCTATAAGTTTGAAGGTTTGCTATTTTGCATTGCTGACAGCGGTAGCACCAGGGTGCTTGTCCGTCTCAGGGACAGGGTGAGAGAGTCCCTTTGCACCTGAACAGGTTAACACCTGCGTAGATTCTCGCTCGGAACAAAACTTTGATCCTCGTGCGCGCGATCTACACCTGCAAAACAGCACAAGCAGCACGCTCCCTACATCAATCGATGATCGCTTCAATTATCCAAGGTATGTGGTTCCATCCGTCGAGATCTTGCTTTTTCTTGGATTCTTTCTAGTTCCAGCGTTTTTATTCTTCGTATTATGTCCTTTCTAACTAGTTCGGTCACTAAATATTGTACGGCAAGAAAATGCCAAGGATGTAAAACAGGAATGAATGAATGAATATGATTATTTTCCATGCGCAAAAATCGGTGTAAGCAATGTAAGATTGTCACCTTTTACATTCTCATAGTTTCCACGATCTCTCAAGCAAAGAACATCTTTTACATTGCATACCTAGCTCTTTCGTTTTGCTAGAATTGTATATAAAGGGTACACAACCTAGCAGCGTACAGGTACCAATATAAAGAATTGTATATATATTTGCGCCATACCGTATAGCGTACAGGTACCAATGTAAAAGAGCGCATATTATCTTGTCATTCTTTTTCTCAGGTGAACTTACAAACATATGTTAACGCCCTTGCCGCAGAGCCCCAGATTGGCGGCGAAGTTCTCGCTGCTAGGTATGGCGCAAGTGAGGTGGTTATGGGAGACGTTCAAGTAGTTCAGGTTCTGGATGGTGGGATTTTCCCAGTGATGCGGTTGGAGCTGAGGCTCAACACTGCAACGTGCGACGAGGTCGATCCGGAAAAGAAGTTCCCTTCCACGTCGCGAACTTTCAGCTGACGCAGCTTAACCAAAGGCATCCATGTCATCGTGGACGCTGAGAGTCCGGAGCTGAGAGAGCGTACTCAGCAATCCAGCTGCTGTGCCTGGTCTGGTGTCAAATGCGACAGAGCTAGCGGACGTGTGAGTGAGCTCAAGCTGGGATTAAGAGGTCCATTTGGTAAGCAGGTTACTCCGATGCACGTCTGCACTTTAAAAAGCCACTAATGCCTTCTCGTCTTCGCTGTTGCAGGATGCCGCAGTGGTGCTGTGAACAAGGAGCGAAACGAGTAAAACAACGAGAAGTGTTCAAGACATTGCAAGGGAACCCACAAGCCAATGATGATACGAGGTAATCTAAGAGGCTCACTCTCTATTTACGTTATAGGAGAGAACACGCACTGTGAGGGACGAAAGAGCTTCAAAGGTACTTATACTAAGAAGTCCTGCTGCTTATCTTCATGTTCTCATTGCAGTCGTTTCTTGGCCTTTGTGTTTGTTTGCTGGCGGCGTTCCCGCACTGAGAATGACACTGTTCAATTGGTGGCCAGGAGGTTAACTTTTAGTTCCAAGTTCAATGGTTCTTACACACTCTCCAGGTGATTACTTTACAACTAACAAGGTACACCATGTTTGTAAGGAATTTTTTTCCTGATAGGGGGGGCTCCATGATAGCTTCATATGCATGCACGCAAGGCAACGAAATGCAGGCCGTCGATTCTCAAAACTCTTCTCTTTGTATTCATCGTGGCCGCACAAAGGCAGAAGGCATGAAAACTAAAAGTCCCGCCATCTTCATGACAGAGCTGGGGGAGCGCTTGCCACAGAGCCCCGGATTGGCGGCAAAGTTCTCCGGATCCATGTCGATGAGCGGCTCTCCGCTAGGTATGGCGCCAGTGAGCTGGTTGTGGGCAACATTCAAGTAGTTCAGTTTCTTGAGCGTCAGGAATTCCACTGGAATCTTGCCGGTCAGGCGGTTCCTGGCAAGGTCGAGCCTCTGCAAGCTCGTGAGCTTGGCGAGGCTGGGAGGGATGGCGCCAGTGAGCGCGTTGTCATCCAGGTAGAGCGCCGTGAGTTGGGTCAGCTGACCAAGCTCTGGTGGGATTTCCCCAGTGATGCGGTTGGAGCTGAGGCTTAGCACTGCGACGTCGCTGACGACGTCTTTGGCGTTTTGGGCCATTGGGATCTTGCCGAGCCAGCTCGGGATGGCTCCTGTGAGCTGGGAGTGGTCGAGCGCGAGGAAGGAAACTTGGGGGAGTGTGGTCAGTCCTTCGAGAGCCTGAAAGCTGAGGTTGTTGTAGTTGAGTCCGAGGTGGTACAGCGTTCCTTTTCCCATGTTGCTCAAGTCTATCGGGACTCCCGTAAGGAAGTTGTCGCGCAGCTCCAGATACCTCAACTTGGGGAGAGTTTTTCCAAAGCTGTCTGGAAGTTTTCCTTGGATCTTGTTGGACTGGAGGAAGAGGTGCTTGAGGTTGGAGATTCGTCCCAAGGAATTGGGCAAAGCTCCGGTGATGGAGTTGAAGGAGAGGTCGATCTCGCATGTGAGCTCGGGGTGTTCCTTGAGGTTGATGCTTCCAAACCAGGAAGGTATTGATCCTTGGAGCTTGCAGCCGCTGAGAGAGATCGTTGAGAGCCCTGGGAGTGTTTTCAGCCCGGAGATGGCGTCAAAGCTAGTGATATTATTGTTATCAAGTTATCAAGCTGCTAAGGTTGGCCATGTTAGTGGGAAGCCCAGTGAGGTTGTCCATCGAAAGCTGCAGCCTTTTGAGGTTTTTGAGCCCTTGAGCAAAACCATCTGGAATACGACTCGACAGCTGGCTTGCCGAGGCCCAGATTGGAGAGAAGGCCTAGAGACTAGGGGATGCTGCCGCTGAATGAGTTGGACGAGATATCCAGCTTGACAAGTTTGCTAAGACGGCCGAGAGAACTCGGTATTTGTCCGGTAAGCCCAGCGCCAGACAGCCAAAGTTCTTCCAGGGAAGCGAACTGGCCGAAAGAGCTCGGAATGGGGCCATGCATACCTCTGTTGAAAGAAAGGTCCAGTACCTTGAGCTTCTTGAGGTTGCCGAGCGTGTCGGGGCATCGTCCAGCGACGTTGGTGCCTGATATCTTCAACGTCTCAAAGCTGGCAAGCTTGCCTAGCGATGGAGGAATGGAGCCGGACAGCATGGTGACACTTAAGTCGAGATACTCCAAGTTTTGGAGGTCGCCGAGGCTCTTCGGAATGGATCCTGTGAGCTGGGAAATGCGCGAGAGATCGAGACGTTGGAGGCATTTCAGCTCCCCCAAAGACGAAGGAATGGAACCTGTGAGCTTGGAAGAGTCCGAGAGATCGAGCTGCTCAAGGCTTTTCAGTTTCCTCAAGAAGGAAGGAATGGAGCCTGTGAACAAGCTTGATCTGAGATTCAAGACAAGAAGTTTCTCGAGCTTGGCGAGGAACGACGGAATGCGGCCTGAGCCGTCGGCCCTTTCAAGGATGAGGTACCTCAAGCTGGTAAGTTTCCCAACTACGGATGGAATCGGTCCCTCAAATCTATAACCTGTCAGATCCAGCGTTTGCAGTGTGGATGCGAGCTGAGCAAGCAACGATGGCAGTGGTCCGGAGAATAAGTTCCCTCCCAAGTCGAGAACTTCCAGCTGACGCAGCTTACCAAAGGCAGGAGGTACGGGACCATCCATGCCATTATCGTGGACGCTGAGAGTCCGGAGCTGAGAGAGGCTTCCCAGTTCTGGAGGCAGCGTACCTCTTAATCCCATGGACTCCAGCTTGAGCTCGCTCACACGTCCGCTAGCTTCATCGCATTTGACACCAGGGCACAGCAGCTGGATTGCTGGGTCCAGTTGGTAAGCAGCTTACTCCGATCGCCGTCGGCATTTTTGAAAGCCAGCAATGCCTTCTCGTCTTCGCTGTTGCAGGATGCCGCAGTGGTGCCGTGAACAAGGAGCGAAACGAGTAAAACAACGAGAAGTGTCCTAGACATTGCAAGAGAACCTGCAAGACAATGATGATACGAGTGTCTCAACCAAAAACAAGGTTCAGGGGACTCCGACTTTGAACCCAGGGCTGCATCGGAGCCATAGATTAAATCATGCACAGCATATGGTATATGCTAGCAGTTAGAACCGCTAGCATTTCAAAAGGGGGAATCCAAATTGTGGATCCCTATCTCCATTCCATCGTTTTTCTTATCAATACATAGCATTCTTTTACTCGTGCTTCTTCTCTGCCCTTGGAGATCGGGCCATTTTCTCTTTTGTTTTCTTACTAACAATAGATTTCCAGCGAAGAGGAGTTTTCTCACCTCTTCATTTGGCAACCACGGCTTCTGAATTCCCCTTCAGGTTCACAAATTCTTCCATTTTTTTCTCCATTCTCTGTGCGTAGATAGCAAGAACGATCCAGAAATCTACCCATCTCGCCCAAATTCGCCCACATTACGCCCTAATTCGTACATTCGCCCAAATTCAACACGCAAATGCCACTGCCACCATGGATCAACGGCGTCCAAGCGGTTGATGCCCAACGCAGTAAAGACAGAAACTTTCTAGAGGAGATCTTTGAAGAATCTGCAAGCTCTCTCTCGAGATCTCCAAGTCCAATCACCGACGGAGAACACCAACGACTCTCTTTGACAAGAAACTCCAATCTACCAGCACCTTCATCAGCAAACACCTTCAGCAGCTTCATTGGCAAATTCCATCTCCGAGCACAAGACCACCCACTCCAAGTTCGAGACATCAACCCGCGCCCTCGACACAAACCGACACCACTACCGAAACGAACCCATCTTCTGTGCAGTCGTCGACCCAGCAATCCTAGCGTTCCGACACAAGTCCAATTCCTGCGCCCACTCCAAATACCGAAGCACATCCTCAAAACCTACACCAACGACGAACCCATCACTTTGTTACCCGGTATCGGACAACTTGTCGAGGGACAACTTCACAACGCACCACCGATTTTTCGACAACCCCTCCGACAAAGTCAGCAGCTCAGCACTGAAACAACAGTCCGAACTCGGTTCGAAATCAACACGTTCGCTGCAACAACTCTCGCCAATCACGCCATCGCCCAATCCGGACTCGAACAACTCGATGACATTATCGAAGAAATCATTCCAGACAAACCCGAATATCTGAAACTCTTCATTGAACTCCATCTCGGCACCAGCACATGGAAGACTAGTTTGCATATTGCACCAGCACACTCGACCCAACACAAATCGGCTGAACACAACCCAACCCAACACACACCACCGTCGATATTTGCACTGAAAAGAACGAACAAGCTCACAACGACTTTATCAACAATTGGCCCACCGACAGTCTTCCCAAAGTTCTTCCCGAACTGCATGATTGACTGCAGACACAAATCTGACACCGACAACCAGTAGAAGAATGCATGTATCCAAAACCACGAAGAACATCCAGCAAGTCGGAAGAAGACCGACAACGACTTATCCGACGTTTAGATAGAGATTTGAAGAATTTAGAAACAAAGAGAAAGAAAGACCAAGAGAAGTTGAATCAAATTCTTAGACCCTCCAAGAGAGAGAATTACATCCGACACGAATTATTACCGCGAGCTAACTCCGACGAATCAGTATCGGACATCCGCGAAGAATACGACAACTACACAACACCACCGGACACACCACCTGCAGCACCCTCGACAGCACCCACGGAAGTGCCCGAGCCTGAATCAGCACCCTTGACGGCACCCACCAAAGTGCCCGAGCCCAACCAAACATTCGAGCAGTCGACACAGACTACGCCTGAGCAACAAAACATTTTTCAAGCAGCATACAACCACTTCAAAGGTACATTCACCAACCCCATCTACAGTGACAACGAACGACCAATTTTCCCGCCTAGCTTCACAGACTTCACCAGACCAGCACCATTTTCGCCATACCGACCGATCTTCACAACACCAATATATCCCACATTTGCTTCCAACATCTATCAAAGCCCGCTATCAGCAAGACCTTTCGAACACGCTTTCGACTTCAACGCGCCGACGAGACAACAACTCGACTTCACCAATTACAGTCGCACTCCAATATACCCAGTCAGCAGCAGTAAAGACGAACAACCCGAATCGTCCAATAGTCAAGCACTCCACATCAACAACTCACACCAACCTGCCGAACAGCTACAATCATCCAACAACAACGAGATCGACGAACCAATTGTCGACGACAACAATCTTCCACAGCAACCACAATCACCACACAACTATATGATCGAAGAACTCTTTGACAATTTAGAAGAACAACCACAACCAACACAACATAACTCCGACAAGTACGTCGACAACAAGTTCGAACACCATCTTCCGCAAATCAACACCGGCAAGCAACCCGACACCAACGACGACGACGACGTCGACGACACACCCGACAACAGTCCCAACACAGTAGGAACAACAAAGAAGAGTCCACTAAACAACAACAACAATTCACCACCTTCCTCTTACACCACCTTTGCCGTCGACCCTGACAACCCCTTGCTCCAAATCACCTTAGGACTCCACAGTGACAATCTGACAAAACAACCTCGACAATACCGACATTATTACCAACAGCAAATGGCAGTCACTACTGCCGTCGCCAACATACCAGTCGGAAGACATGTCTCCTATCCACTATTTCATGGTCTGAAGTCAGAAGATGCCGAGAAACATGTTGAACAGTTCCGAGAAGCCATCCGAATCAACAACCAGACGACCGAACTTCCATACTATTTCCGATGTACCCTTCGAAAGAGAGCCAACGAATGGGCTCAAACGCTTCCTCAAAATACAAGTTTTGACGACCTCACACTCAAACTCGTAGACCGATTCAAGTCTTCCCTCACTCAAAGCCAACGACTTCACAAGATCCAAAAACTCAAGCAGAAGTCCGGTCAATCTATCGACGACTACACTCAAACCTTCACTCGACATGCTAGCAAATGCGGAAACAGTGCCACCGAAACATTACTTTACCAATGGTACATGCAAGGACTCCGACGATCCCTCCGAGAAGCAGCAACACACATCAACGTTGCCACTTACCTCGAACTCGCAAGAGCCCTTCAAGATGTTCAAGCTCGACGAATGACAGCACAAGTAGATGACACAGATAACTCAGATTCTGATAGCAGTTCCGATGACGACTCTGACGATGAACTCGGAGAGAGCACCAAGTCAAAACTTCAGAAACTCAAGAAAACAATCGACAAGCTCAAGGGAAAAGCCAAGACCAACATCAAAGAATTTCGATCTGGAATTTGGTGTACTAAGTGCAAGAACGAAGGACATCCGGCAAGTGACTGCAAGCTCCAAATCTCCAAATGCCAAATCTGTGCCAAAGAAGGTCATGACGCCAAGACTTGCAGATTTCGAAATTCTCCAGAAGTTCGACAAGTCTCGAACTCTCCCCGACAGCAGTTTCGACAAGCATATCCAAATCAATACTTCGACAATCACCAAGCACCACCTCCAACAAACTGGAGACCGCTCAGAAACAACTTCCAACACCAGAGTCGACAATGGAATGATCAACCTCGCTACAACAACTACAACAATTACAATAACGACTACAACAACAACTACAACGATCGACAATACCTGCCGAACCGGAACTACCCGGCAAACCGAGACAACTACAACCAAGGATACCAACAATACCCAAGATACCAAAACCGAAGATACCAAGGCCAAGGTTATCAAGACCAGGCCTACCAAGGCAACTACAACAACCGACTATGGCAACCTCGACTTCAAAACCAAGGCGGTCCGCCGAGACTTGGTCCACCGCCTCCTCGACAACAAGATCAGAACCAGCAGCAACCACCAACAACAAGGATGGTCGAGACCGACGAACTACCTTATGCCGACAATGACGACTCAGATCCTCAAGTCATGGCAGTACAAACCCGAGCACAAATTTGAGCAGAAAAACAACAACAACCGGACAGAGATTCCGGAGATAGTGAAGAGAAAGGCCCTGAGAGCCCGACAAAACTCCGGGAATGGAAAAAGAAGCAGAAGTTAGCTGCCAAGATACAGCAGCAACTCGCTCTACACCCACCCGAATTAGTGATTTTAGACTCCGACAATGAAGCTCAACCATCACCAGCTCGACAACAATGCCAAGACTCAATACCAGAAAACGGACAGACAAATCGTCCAACATCGACACCGACACCAGAACACAATTCGGCAAACTTCGACAAAATCCAAGCAGTCGCAGAGACTATCCTCAACCAAAATATTCAGATCACCATCGGCCAACTGCTGAAGATTGCACCCTACCTCACCAAACAGCTCACCGATCTGACATCTGCACCAACCAACACTTTGATAGACTCGCCCACACTCAACTCGACACAGACAGCTGTTGACACATTTTGAACCGAGATTCAACCAGGCAATTGTGACATTGATGTTCCGACAATTGACCTACGACTCGACAAATATCTTGTTCGAGGAGCCATAATTGACGGCGGCTCCAGCGTTAATATTATTGAAGAAAGTCTTGTTCAACAACTCAACATTGGCCCAGTTCACCCAGCACCTTTCAATGTCCGAATGGCCGACCACCAATCTGTTCAACCCAAAGGCATCATCCAAAAAGTCAACACCACCATTCAAGGCGTCAAAATACCAGTCAACTATGTCATCCTCAAACTACTGGAGCAGACCGACGGATACTCAATTCTCCTCGGTCGACCTTGGCTCCGAACTGCCCAAGTTTATCAAGATTGGCCCA